TTACTTTGGCTAATGGGCTTAAGGCCCTATTCAGTTCACCTTAAATAAAAAAATAAAAAAATTTAAAAATTATATCAGTTTATTAAAAAATATGAGTAAAAATCAATAATATTTTAAAGAGGAAATATAATTGAAAATCAATAAAATTAATTTAATTTCAATAAAATAATTTTAATTCAGTAAAAATAATTTAAGTTCAGCAAAAATAATTAGTCCTCATAGACGATTACTTTTAAAAAAACAAATGTCGTGTACAAAAACTGGTAATTTAGATGATCAAAGGCAAATTAGATGGTTTCACCCATCCAATTGGAATCCTGGAGGGTATTAGGGTCTATAGGTAGCTTCTTGGCAATTTTTGTTTCTGGGTCAAAAATAGTCAAAAATTGGCAAAATTGAAGGCTATAATACACGTTTTTTGGCCAATTTTATAGGTTTCGGGACACGGTGTCGAAAATCTCAAGATTCTAGGGGATACATCCCATGGTCATATAATGTCGTTTGGAACCATATATGAACATTATATGTTGTCATAAATATCCGTGGTAACCTCGAGTTTATGAAATCGGTGCAAGTTGCAAACGAGTAAATTGACAGTTTGAAGGTATATTGGATGGTTTTACCAACCCAAATGGACTCCCAGGGTTTATTAGGGTCCATGGGAAGCCTCTCGACAATTTTTATTTCCGAGTTTAAAAAAGTGAAAATTTGTCCAAAATTAAAGGCTATAATACACGATTTTGGGTTATTTTTTGACATTTTTTCGAAAATTACACTGAATACGTGGGGTGACTCCTGGGGTCATATAAGGTAGTTTGAAGCCATAACGCACATATAAAGATGTCTATAAAGTGCCGAGAATGAGTTACAATATGTTTCTATTTTGAAATTTTGGAATATAATGATGTCACAAAAGTATATTGAAGTGATAGTACTTGACAATAATAATGTCATATGAATATAATTACGTCATAAAAGTATATTATGATGTTATATATAAAAGTATATTGAAGTGATGTGACTTGACAATAATGATGTCATATGAATATAATGATGGAAGGAGGAATTCTAGGACTCTAATTGTTAGTCATGACTCTAACAGGGGTATTCTCGCAAACTTTACTGTGCACTTGCAAAAATAATAAAAAAAATGAAAAGTTTGAGAAAAGGATGGATCTTAAAACCAAAGCTTGAGGAGTTGTTACCTATAGGCCGTAATAGTATGGACTTTCGCTTTGATATTGGCCGGAAAACGATCGAAAGTCGCTGGAGATATTTCCCCAATTTTAGAGAGAAACTGAAAATGTTAGAGAGAGAAAGTAAAAATGAAATTTTTTGAGGAAGAGCTGTCATTATCCCCTTTCTGAATTCTTTAATGCCATGAACTATCCTTTTCTCAACCTTTTCATATACAAGGGCACATGGTAAAATTACGAGAATACCCCTGTTATTTATATATGAATCTAACAGTTAGAGTTCTAGAAATTCTCTGATGAAAGTGATATTACTTGACCATAATGAAATTAATGATGTCATATAATTATATTGAAGTGATGTGACTTGACAATAATAATGTCATATAAATCTAATGAAGTTATATAAGTACAATGATGTTGTTTAGGGTAATTTTACCCTGCCACGTGGCCCAATCAGAAGGTGATACGTGTCAGCCCTAGATTGGTCTAAAATGGACCAATCCCTGCTCGACACGTGTCATTCCCGAAATCAAGGGAAAAGGCGGCCTTCAGGCCCAAATCCCGAGAATGCCGCCAAACGGCGCAGCCCACCAATGATTAGGGTTCAGTAACCTAATCAGGGGCACGATTCCCAAAGACCCTATAAATAGGAAGATGTCCCTCATTTTAAGGACACGTTTGATAATTTATTACACAATTACTCTTTGATAGAGGCATCTTGAACTTGGAATCCGAGCAGATCCCTACCTAAATTTCCGCACCTTTTTTCTCCCTTCAAGTTTCTAACTTGTGCGTCGGAGGCGGAGCACCACCCAACTGGTGTCTCCGTTTGTTTTGCAGGTACAGCTCACCCCGGATCAGTTTTTGTGTTGTAACTCTCCCGAGAGACAAAAACACCCAAAACAGATGTAATACTATGTAATTCTATTTAAAATGATTTACATCATCAATCAAATTGGAGATTTAACCTAAACATTCAACAAATATGAATGTATTTGATCTAAGCCCAATATTAGCCTAGACTACAGCTTCGCGGGCCACATGTTGCTCATTTCATATACCCATTTCACCAAAACCCACAATTTTTTCTTAACCTTCCTCACTTCCTCCAATATAAATACTACAACCACTAATGCAATTTTCCAGATTAGGGTTTATCGGAAATTAGGGTTCTTCATCCCACTTTGTTCTTCTTCGAACTCACGACGCCGTCAAATCAAAATTCAGCTGATAAATCAATAATTTGTTGGTTCATCTTCTCAAAATTTGTATTTTTATCTAAAATTGTTCTTTATTTCATCTGATTTTTTATATTTTTTTAGAAAATGAAATGATGAGCAATTTTCCCTATTGGAATGATACGCTTATATGATGGCGATACTATGTATTAGCTCTATCTGATCTAAATTTCTCTCCTTTTTTCTTTTTTTTTTTTTAGTTTACAAATTTTCAATTAAAATTTTGTAGATTAATGCATACTCGAGTGCTTTACTGGTTAAGCTTATTCAATACCTTGTGGAGCTCATAGGATATGCTAAATTTTTAAAGGTCGCCATTTTTGGGATTTTCTTGCTTATTTATTTATTATTTCATAGCTTGATAATCCCTTTTTAATGGCGACTATACTAATTTTTTTTATAATTATTTTTGATAAATTTGTAAAATTTATAAATTTATAAATTAAAATTAATGGAAAATGAAGAATGAGGTGATGAGTGATTATTTCCCTATTGGTTTGATTCGCCGTAATGATGGTGTATTCACGTATTCGTACTGTCTGATCATTCTTTAATTAAATTTTCAATTTTTCTGGGATTTTTTTTTGTAAATTTTGAAATAACTTTGTGTAAATTAAATTAATTAAGCACATATCGAAGGCTTGACATAGAAATTAAATTCCTGTTTGAGCTCAATATTGTGCAAAATTGAATTTTTGTAATTTGTCATTGTAATTTTCTTCCAGCTAAATTTTTATTAGCTGTTATAAGCAATTACTGATATTTATAAATTCTTAGTCGTTTTCGGGTAATCAATTAAGTTTATTGCTCATATTTCAATTAATTTAAACAATTATTTTGGTTTTTGATTCGCTGAATTGTTGATTTTGGAAGGCTGATTTTAATCATTTCATCTGTTCTGTATGTGCTACTCCAACCACGAACTGTGTAACAATGTTGACTTAACTTAACTACCAGGAAATTAATGTTAGATTACTGATTCATTAGATATAACTACTGGACAATCGACAGACGATAATCTAATCGAAAACGAAGAACGAACTCAGGAACTTATTTGAGGGTTGAGATTCAAGTTAATCTTCGTTGAATGGATTGAAGTAATAATTTTGATTTGTTCTTGAAAATTAAAACTCTGGCCAGTTATGCAGTGCAATGATGTATTTGAGTTTTGAGTTATGACCATTCGACCATTCTTCTAATCTCCAACGAACGTAATGAATCTCCAAGGCGTCTGGGAATTTTGAATTCTGTTGTTGCTCTTTCAAAAGTTTTATGCACAAGCAGTGGTGGCTGAGCTATACCGAGCTTTAGAAAAGAATACTCTGCTGATAATTTCTGTTTTCCGGACACTGCAACCGTGAAATGTGATATGCACCGTGATATCAACTGTATATATGGCTTAAGTTGCCCTTAGTATCATACTGATATATATCTATATCATGCATTCTTACAGAAACCTGCAGATGACTCCAATGATTTCAGACAAGTTATAGTCTGGTTTGATGTAGTCAACGATCTCGGCTTTGATGAGTTGGTGTGCTCAGAAGCATTACTATTGTTTTAGGCACGTTCTTATTCAGTTTGTTTACTTTCTGTTTTTGCTGTACTTGGAGGCAATCCGCACTCAGCTCACTAGTTTGCTGATTTTCTGTTATGCTTCAGGGCACAATCTGAGGCAAAACTAAAATCATTTTATGATTTATACAGGGAATAACTTTTATCTGACAGTTGCTAATCTATTGTTCTTGCATTTCTGCCAATTCATTTTTCAGTTATCTGAGATAGAATTATGCAAGCAGGATTCTGCAGGGATGATCACTGATCCGGGAGTCAGGAGAGGACCCAAATATTTCTCATAAATATGGTATCAGTAGTTTACTACGTACACTTATATGGCTGGTTCTGCTAGGAGTATATATTGTTTCGAACCAGCTTTTTGTAACTGTCTTCAGATTCATATATAGTACTCCGTATAGTGAAGATGATATGTGCTGCTCAAGCCTCAAACAGTATGGAGCTATGACGAATGACCTGATAAAATGGTCACAGGGCGACACTTGCCTGTTATATGTGAATCTTCGGTACCAAAAAAAAAAAAAAAGGTTCAGTTCTTGACATATGTTTCACATTTTGGATTCTATTTCTGGTCAATTTTGGCAATACAGACTACAGAGACTATACTTGGATCTTATATTGTTTTTACAGTTTTCTAGTAGTTACAACTTTACGAGGTTATAAGTCTAGTCTGTCTAGATGTATATAAGCCAAGATCAATGTGACATTATGTTCTAGTCGAGGTCATAAATCTACTTCTATGTATCAGTAACTCTGTAAACGAGGCCTATCAGCTCAATTTTTAATCTGAAAGTCATTTTCTTGCTTTTGTTTTGAAGTGTAAAACTCTTACCAATTATTAAGCTTGTTGACAGCATGCTTTGTTAGAAAATTACAAAAGTTAATCAGTAAACAATTATATCTGTTGTGTAAGTTGTAACTGCTACCATGGGGAAGATTAAACTAGCATTTTCTCATACTAAGGACAAACACAGTATCTGGTGCAGGAAAATCTAAATCTTCATACATACTGTATTTGTCTCATCTTCCTAAAAAATCGCAAAGCTTTATGCTTTGAAGCATCTGTAATTAACATTATATCGATTCTATTAATAATATATTGATAAAGAATATGCTCAAGTTTAAGTAAAAAAGATTGTTGATTACTGAACTTGAGCATTCTGTAATTTTCTTGTATAGTTCAACACAAATTCTGAACCTTCTGAATCACTCACTGCTTAAATGGAGTGTAATGGTAATAGCAAAGAGTCTGTAGGATTAGATGTGTTGAATTATGATTTGGAGAGCGAATTCAGTGAATTTATTTCTACGAAAGCTGGAGTAAAAGGACTTGTTGATTCTGGTATTGTTAAGGTCCCTAGATTCTTTCTGTCATCTGCAGATGTAAATTATTTGGAGCATACGAGCTCTAATGGTATCGAGAATCAAGTTCCAGTCATCAACCTCAAGGGCTATGAAGGTAAAAGGCGTAGGACTATTGTGAATGAAGTCTTACAAGCATCAAAGACATGGGGCGTGTTTCAGATTTTCAACCATGATGTTCCCTCAGCTGTCATGAAGAGCATGCTAGAAAGTGTGTGTGGATTTCACGAGCAATCAAATGAGTTAAAAAAGGATTACTATTCTCATGATTCCACAAGGAAGGTGAGGTATTACGCGACTGTCCAACCAGCTCGTAGAACTGCATTTTGGAAAGACACAATTGCCTGTCAGTTTGAGAACATGACAGAAGATTTTGAAGCCTTGCCTCTTATTTGCAGGTTTCAGTTTTCAGTCCTCTTATGTTATAGTTTATTCCTTCAAGTTGTCATTTAATTTCGGTTGTATAATCGCTGTGTTGTATTCCTGGTTCCTGCAGGGAACCTATGTTTGATTATGTCAAACACATAGTTGAACTAAAAGAGAGGTTAACCAAGTTGCTTTCTGAGGCTCTAGGGCTAGAGTGTGATCACCTTGAACTAATGGAATGCATGGAACCTCGAAAGGTAGTGGGTCACTATTACCCGGCTTGCCCTGAGCCACATTTGACTCTAGGCACAGCGGAACATACAGATCCTTATTTCCTTACGATTTTATTACAAGGCGACATTGATGGACTTCAAGTCTTGCATCAGGATCAGTGGATTCATGTGCCACCAATGGAGGGCGCACTTATTGTTATAATAGGTGATATGCTGCAGGTTAGCCTTTTTTCTTTTCACCTTACATCTAATTTCAGATGGCCTATATGCATCTTCAGATTTAAAGTACGAAGCCTTGAAATTGATCATACATAATAAAGATCAGTTTGCAATCTTACACACTAAATTGTGCCTTTTGGTTTTTTGTGTAGCTGATAAGCAATGATTTATTAAGGAGTGCTGAACATAGAGTACTAGCAAATCGGAAAGGTCCCAGATTGTCAGCAGCATGTTTTTTCTATCCGAATGGCAGAATTAAAGACCGGAATCATGGACCAATAGAGGAACTTCTGTCTGATAAGAATCCTGCATTATACAAAGAAATCACTCATGCTGAATATCTCAAGCATCATGGTGTACATGGAAGTTGCGGCTCCAAAGCTCTTCCTCATATCAAGATTTAATCTTTTTCGATCAGTACTAACCATATGTAACTACTGGTATAATCATGCAACTATGACAAGATCTTTTCCTCATTATGAGAGTAAAATTGCTCATTAAACCCCCATAATTTGACTCTATGACTCACCAGTTCAGTTAAAAATCAAGTGTGGTTTCTATTACTGTATTGTTTCAGCCCTTAAATGTACAGTCCCAACCTGCAGGGACGAATCAGTTAGCGTAGTCCTGTTCTATAATTCAGGCATTTCTGGGTAAAATAGACTCTTCTGTACTAAACTGTGGACTCGATTTGTGTTCTGCACTTCTGAATGCAGGAGGCCACTTGTAGCACAACATCTATGTATGCTTTAAGTACATGCTCCTTTAGTTGGTTGTACATTTATAACCTATGTTACCCGGACTCTTCATTTCATCAAAAGATTCCATTGTTTACATTGAACAAAAAGTCATTAAACAGGATAAAATGATGGAATTCATTGTCAAATAAATTCAAACTCGAAACTACTGTGATATTACCAAAAAATGATGCAGGAATTTGTTCTCCACATACAAATCTCCTGTATCTATGGAAGCCTTGAAGAGAAATCAATCTAAATTTGGTTACAGCTGCTGTTAGTTGTTACTTATAGCAGATGACTCGTACTGTCGTACAGACAAGTTAATTGATTCTCAAGCTCTATATATCAAAGACAAACTAGCCCTTTGATAATAATTATGTATGCAAAGCAAGAACACATTCCTGGTGTCACTATAAACCTTCCGGTAATCCGGTATGTCCGTGCACACACACACATACGCGCATGCACACACGTGCACGTGCGCACACGTATAATATCTTACAAAATGTAAGTATGTAACACATAATTTTCTCAATGAAAATCATTCTATATTCTATGGTAAACTTCAACAGTCACGCTACATTTTATAAAAAAACATCTGTGATCTATCTTACAATAAACTATGTTAGCTTCTAGAAAAATACATAATTTTTGTAAGCCAAGTTAACGTGTGTGCTTTAAAGATTTTGAATTGATATGATTTGGTTCTTTTTGCAGTTAAATGACACTTGTATACAGAATTTCATTCCAAATAAAGCTTTTAAATAAAATTTGATTAAAAAAGACGGCAAAATTATTTAAATATTTTGAATTTTTTGGTATCAAAGAGGATATATTAAATAAATTTACCTTTGCATATATTCTAATAATTCACTAGTTTATTATCCACCCTTTTTTTTATTGGAATGGCCATACAAGTATACAACTGAAACTATTGTTGCAAGATAAACTTCTTTTGCTTTAAAAAATGGGCCATTGCCTTCAAGCTTTTAGAATATAGAATGAAAGAAAACAAAATCATAACTTTTTTCATTGACACAAATTATTCAAGAAGGTTAAAAAATAAAAAAATAAAAAATATTAAAAAATCGAATCAAATATTCAAAGAGTAATTCAAACGAAGTACTGTATGTGATAGAGTTGTAGCGTTAAACATATATAGCTGAATTTTTATTGCATACTTATAATTTTTTCAACGAGTACTTTTATAATTTGTATTGCTTTCTATTTAACTAAATGAATACTAAAAAAAAAAAAAAAAAAAAAAAAAAAAAAAAAAAAAAAAAAAAAAAAACTAGTTGGATACTAGCAAATAATTTTTTATCTTACATTTTAAAACTATTATACGGAGTATGGAGTAGCTTTTTGTTTAACTAAGATTAATTAGACAAAATATAAACCTATTAAGTTGCCTTTTTACATAAATTATGGAACAAACCTTTACGGAGTACAATTTATTTAATTTTTTTAAAAAATAAATTCACCCATAGAGTATTCTATGTTTACTTTTTTACTACGTACAAAACAAAAGAAGCAAAATCACTAATTTTGGCTCCCATTCCCTTGCATTAATATCAATGTCACACCAAATGAGACCTATCTCATGTTAAAAAATTGTCATATTTAAATGAAAAAGACAAAGAAAAGAACAAGTCTTTGGCTTTATTTGTTTTGGATTTGTTATATTTCCCATATGTTGTATCATCTTCTAATGTACATGCAACCTATGTTGTTTTTTTGCAACCTAATTTGGTTAAAATAATTCAACAAAGCACAATATAGTTCTTGCTATTTGCTACGCTAGTGTCCAACTACTTGAATGAAAGTGAACGTAGCCAAAGTTTATTTCTTATTCAAAGACTTCAATATCTTAGGCAAGTCACATGCAATTGGTATCTATATTAAAAAAAATTACTCAAACAGTTGAAAAACACTTCTAATCACTCTTTTTTCACTTTCCTCTTCTAAGTAGCTATAGTAAGATGAATCAAACCGACAAAAACCTCATTCACCATTTACACATTCGATATTATCTTTTGAGTAGCTTTTAGTAATTTGATTTATTCAAACCATTACTTAGTAAAGAATATCTTTTTTTTTTTTTTTTTTTTTTTACAATAGCAAAGGAGCAAAAACTAAGAAACATTCGACAAAGTAAGACGACATCTTCTGGCCATGTCGTTAGCCCGTTTTACCTGTTCTCTAGGGACCTTTAGAATCGCACACTTAAGAAAAGAGGCCCCTACTTCCCTAATTTCCTCAATTATCCAAATAATCGAAACATCCTTACCAAGGTTATCTTGTAGATTGTTCAGGAGGGAAGTAGAATCGAAACATCCTTAGTAAAGAATAATCGAAACATCCTTAGTAAAGAATATCAGTGTTTGACAATGTAGTGATGGGAGTAGAGTTTAGTGGTTGGAGTAGCTTTTGCGAAAAGCTAGTTAGCTGTTGGAATAATTCTTCTATATTTTTAGAATTTTACAACTGGTAGCTAGTTTACCAAATAATCATACTTAATTATTTATTTTTGCGGCTAACAGCTAACAATTACCATCATAGCTAATAGATATGGCCCGTAAACCCTTTCTCAATGAATGGAGAGATCTACAGCTATATTTTGTCATACACACCCTTAATCTACTAATTTTGAGCGAATAATATCATGGATTATAATTTTTTTTTTGCTCTGTAACAAACTAAAACTCATATCTCAACAATATTCCTAGTGATACACTTTGGGTCTAACAATAATGTAAAATATCACCCTTATTAACTTTATCGGTCTTATATCTATTTCATAATAATTATCACGGTCAAGCTTAGCACACATGCCAATACATGAGTTTGACCACTTATATATTATTTAACGAACAAAAATCATATAAGTAAATATTATTAAGCTTCACATAAATATCTACTTAGTATTTAGAAACATTTTACATGATACTAGTTGCTTTTAATACATCATTATTAAAAACTACAATCCACGTTAATATATAAATACTATAAAAAAAAGTCAAAATAAGACAATTATTATAGATTAGAGCTAGGGAGTATTTAAAAAATAAAGGGTTTTTCTAAGCTATGCCCCTAAGGTATTCGAGTTTCTAAGGTGTACCCACACTTTTTCAAGTTTCTAAACTGTGCCCTTATACTCCTTATCAATACTAAAATGTACCCTTATTAGTTGTTTAAATGTTATTTGAGAGTGTGATTTTGTGGCTTCAGTTTTCATTATTAGGGTTGCGGTGGCTAAGATTTTTTTCTCCTACCATTTCCCTACCTTTTATCATCAATCTATTAAATTTATAGTTAACTTTAGGTGACGTGGAAGTTCCAAGGAGGGCACCATTCATCAATGGTAGTAAGTTGAGGGGCACAACTTAGAAACTTGAAAAAGCATGGGTACACCTTAGAAACTCGAATACCTTAGGGGTATAGCTTAGAAAAACCCAAAAATAAAACATCAAAGACAATTGATATCACATTACAATATTTTGATGCAACAGTTTTTTTACTATAGGTAACATTTTTCATATCATGTTTTTGGTTATGTGTCCATATCATTAGTCCTTAAATTATTAACATAAACAACCATATAAGTAATGTGGAAAATCATAAAGTATTTCTAAATGGGATAATAGTTTTATAGTTGACATGAGAAAATGCCAAGTTGAGTACCTCAGCTCATGTTTTGGTCTTTTGTCCAAAAACATGTTAAATGTGTTGATAAATTTCACAATCCAAAGTAAGGAGGTAGCCTTTGTCTTCATCTTTTTCTCTTGCGTCAATTTTTAATATAAACACCAAGAACTTTGTTTCTTCTCCAAAACTCTCATTTCTCATGGCAAAAGCAGCCAAACCCATCCATGAACACCTCTATGACCGAGCAAAAGAGGTCGAAGAATTCGATGAAACAAAGGCCGGAGTCAAAGGGCTCACGGACTCTGGTCTATTGACCATACCCCGAATCTTCATTCACCCACCAGAAAACCTTTCATCAAATTCTGATGCATCCCAATTGGTTGAGTTTCCGGTGATAGACTTTGGTGTTGATGGATGCAGGGAGAATTCAGAGATGTTGGAAGAAATACGCGAGGCTGCTCAAACATGGGGCTTTTTCCAGCTAATTAACCATGGGATCTCATTGGAAGTCATGGAGGAAACGTTGAAAGGCATTCGGAGGTTCCATGAACAGCCCACATGTGAGAAAACAAGGTTCTACAGGCGCGATGTCAAGCACAAGGTGAAGTACTACAGCAATGGAAATCTTTTGGAATCAAGAGTCGCTAATTGGAGGGATTCGATAAGTTGTGACTATCAGGATGGTGATCTGAACCCTGAAGAAGTGCCTCTTGTTTGCAGGTTAAACTGCTCAGCTCCTCTTTCTCCGTCATTGACTAAAATTTTCTCTGTTTCACTATTTTATCACCTTGATTGAGAATTAGTTGTCAGAAGAACGTTCTAAATTACAGAAATTTATTATCAACGTGACCATTAACTTCTTGCAAGAGGAGTAAACACCTGCTAAACTAACAGTAACTAAAACTGCTTCGAGAATTTTGCAGGGAAGCAATAACCAAGTACATGGAAAATATATTAAGTCTCAAGAAAAAGCTCTCTGAAATACTTTCAGCGGCTTTAGGACTCCAAAAGGACTACTTAGCCAAGATTGAATGTATGGAAACTGCAAACTTGGTATGCCACTACTATCCTGCATGCCCAGAACCACACCTAACCTTAGGTGCAACGAAGCATTGTGATCCATCTTTCATGACGATTCTCCTGCAAGACAACACTGGTGGCCTCCAAGTCCTCCATCGAGAGCAATGGATTGACATTCAACCTAGGCCAGGAGCTTTAATAGTCCATCTTGGAGACTTAATGCAGGTACTATTTAGCATTTACTCTCTAGTCTCTATTGTTGGCCAAGTAGCTAGGCTGGTATGGTAAATGATGATATACAATCGTTCTTAAGCCTGAAGTACAGTACAGAATTTCGAAAGATCAAGTGATTCTCATCTTGACACTTCAAATTTTGGTAAACAACCTGGCATCCTCAGGTTTGAGAATTTTCATTCCAAACCTTGACATAGAGAGCCATTGAGGTTTTATTATACCAGTTCGCTATTTAGCTCCTCTCTAATTCTCTCCCAATATAAACTATCATAACTGGTGTACAGTCTAAGTTCGTATGCTTTTTGACAAATGCAGCTGATCACAAATGCCAAGTTCAGAAGCGTTGAACACAGAGTACGTCTAAGGAAAAACTGTCCACGGGCATCAGCTGCGTGTTTCTTCTATCCAAGCACCAAGAAGAAAAATGAGATATACCAGCCAATAGAGGAGTTGCTATCAGAAAACAACCCACCCTTGTACAGGGGAACAAGTTCCACCGAATATCTAGCCTATTATAGGGCCAACGGTCTTGATGGGCAGCCAGCTCTTCCTCATTTTGAGCTGTGATGGACTCACAATTCTTACAGCAGTCCCATTAATGTCCTAGTTTCTTTGTTTCTCTTGTTATAGTTACACATCAAATAACGGTAGTTTCAAATAAAAGACATGTCAAGATTTCTCATGTAAAGCTTGAAGACACAAGGAAAGAAAGAGTAGAGCAATGCAAAAAATAAATGCACACTTCAGATTCATTAAAAAGGGTTTCAAGCTCCCGAAAACTTACAACTTGGGGTGAAAAACACAACATAAAAGTAAGTGGAAAAGACCCATTTCTTTAGAATTTCAGGGTTTCTTTTCTCTGGCACACTATATATAATTAAAGGGAGCAAGCAAACCCAAATCACTCAACCATAAAACACTAAATTTAAACAAGGTAGTCATCATAAAACATCACTAAACAACTCACAGAACCTCAAACAAAGCGCTGAAATTGAAGTTGCTGACACCAAGCTGGCAAGTCATTAGACAGTATTTTTTGATTGAAGTAGCTGAACAAGTGACCACAAGACATCCATCCTATGCAAGTTTCTGTTACTCTGACTCTGCAATGTATCAATTTAAAAATTAATTAGAAAATGTGAAACAATTCAAGGATATATGAAGTAAAAAGTTTGATATAGAGAGCTCCAAAAATGACAAGCCGAATACGAGGATTACAAAATCAATTAGGGGAGCAGTTTCAAGGCAGATAAAGGATCTGCGTTCAGAATTTACCTCAACCACAAAACGCATCCATGTTTTGTCTCCGTGATTATCAGTCATGCCTTTTAGAATAGTCAGACCCAAGCTTCTAATAGCTTCTGCTATCTCCAGAAAATGATCACAATCCTCGCACAACATCTGTAAATACAAAAAAAGTAAACTATAAGACACAAGAAGACTTTTTAGTCCAATTTTATAACTCTTTCCTGGACAGATTTTGAAATAATGAGATCAGCATGACACACAAACCTCAATTAGCATTTGCCCATTCATGTTGAGGTTTTCAACCACAATTGGGCATATTTTCATATGGCCTCCAACCTCCACGACCCAGCTTGAGCCTTGCTCTTGATTAGATCCTAGAGCTCCCATTTCATTACTGCAACCCTACACATTCAAATAGATTGTATAATGTTCAAAACTCTTGGAATATATAGTCAGGTCAACAACACACAATTTCTGCTTTATTTGAACATTTAGTTTGATCATGTATAGAACACAGCATCTTCAGATTTTACTGAATAGTGACATGATTAAATGTGAGAAAAATATACACACAAGAGGGTATGGTAGTTTGTTCTTACCCTAGATTTAACACAATTACTGAGCTTGTCAGAATGCTTTGTGACACTCTGCATGAACACCATATGCTTGATCGTCCGCTCCAGCAGCGAATCAATGCTGCACTGCACAATTAAAAGGGAACATATCAATATAGTAGAATTTTTCCATATACAAGCACCAGTTTCCACAATTTGCGCCAAAGGAGAAATACCTTTGCTCCATTGGGCACAAGCTCTCGAAGCTCTTTAATCCGATCTTGAATAAGCTGCCTATCTCTTGGCCGAGGCCTAGAACTTTCACCAGGTCTTGCTCTCTTCTTGTTAGCCTTACCCTGATCAGCTGGCCTCACCATTGGCTCTCTGTATGAACTAGTTGAAGACCTAATGCTACAAGATTCTGAAGAGTTCAAGCAGTTCTGTGTACTTTCCTCTAGAAGCGATGAGCAGCCAATCGAGTAATATGATGATGAACCAATCGTATGGCTATTATTAATAGATGGCTCTGGCATTTTTTCAGTTGTTAACATAGATTCGGATGTAGAAAGTGACTTTGCACTCTTAAAAGCAGCATCCTTACGGCAAAAATTAGCTACAACGGCTTCTAAAAGATGATCTGTCCCAGAATCTGATGTAATTAAGCTGCTTTCCATAGTCTCTGGCATCTGAGAAGCTAGCCCTTCTGGATTTTCAGATTCCCAAGACCAAGGGTAGCACTGTTTTAGAAAAGCAGGTCCTAAAGCTTCATGAAGCTCAGTTCCAGCAGAGAACGTGACAGGTGACTTGAAGTTGCCTAGAGAATCCAGGCAACTAAATTCTGGTTGATTATCCAAAATATCCTCCAACTTAAGTCTTTCCAAGGGGTCAGAAGCGACCTGTTTTTGAACTAGTTCCTCAGAAGGATGTTCTCTGCTGTCTAAGTGAGCTCTGGACTTTTCAGCTGAAACTTTAACATCATGTAAAGAGCTATTTTCTGTAAGGCAACTTTGAGAGGATGCACAAATTTGTCGTGCAGTACTAGTAACTCCATTTTGGATCTTATAACCGTTACTTTCGCAACTAATGTCATTGAGCAGATCAGTAGTTTGCTGATTTTCAGATATTGATTGAATAAGTCCATTTTTCCTCATCAATTCCACTGCCTCGCTAAGATGCACAACAGACAAAGATCCCCCAAAAGAATCAACAAGGCGTCTCTTGGGAGATTGAATACCAAGAGAATGGGAAGAAGTGTTGTCATTATGTGCAGTTTTATCAAGATCAAGTACACACTCTTGAAGGACATCTGAACCAAAAGTGCTCACTGGTATATCCGACTGTAAAGAAGATAGCTAAGTTCAAGATGTGTAAAAAAGTAAAATAATATAGATGCAGAAGGGGGAAGAGAGCCTCATACCATCTGGAGCACATTCTGCAGACTGCTTTGTATTGGAGTCTGGATATGGCATGCTGACTCTTGAAGAGAAGAAAATACATATCTAATATGTGTCAACAACTGCATATTTTCATTGACCTACACCCAAAAAAGATACCAAAGTTTAGAAAGACATACATTGTCATTCAAGAAGCTGAAATTATAATCTTGACAATCTTCACATTTACACAAGCTAGCGCCCCCTCCCCCCCCCCCCCCCCCCCTTCTCTTTCTCTCTCTTTTCCCCTACCCGGCAGACCAAAACCCTTAAAGAATATGAAATCACATATATCCAAGATATATTTCATAACTTCTATTAATCTCTGTCCATGAGTGACTTGTAAATATCCAAAATGTATTTGACAAGTTCTGACGATACTACTCCATTTCTTAGTAATTTACGTCTTTAACTGCTGATTTGTGAAGAGGTGGGACGTTGGAATAGTTATACTGTTATAGCTTCCATTGAAACTCTAATGGGAGGAAGAGCCAAGTTCAACAAATGAAGAAGTTTATAACATAGAAGTATAGGCTAAGTTCTATCAAGGAAGATGCTGCGGGTATAGTAGACAGTGGTGAGCTATGAAGCTATTAGCAAATGAAAACAGAGATGTTGTCATTTGCTAATAGCATCATCCTCACATTTATAGCTCTTTTAACATAGACATGATAGCATCTAAAGAGTTGGTCTGCAACATGTGAAAATTGATTGATACAATTTCGTTTATTTCTAGGCAGTAATAAATAGTAGTATTGATAATGATTTTGCACCCATTATCTCAAGGAAAGTTCCATGCCAGTGGTCATAGAATGCAACTTAATCCCCAAGTATTCCCAAGTCTTATTGTTTTAAAAAGCCTCCATTACCACTGATTATCGGTGGTAATGAAAATTTTGGAAGAAAATAAAGTGCACATTGTGATGGGGTCTTCCTTGCAAAATTACATCTAAAATCACTATTATTACTGCCAAGCATACGAGTCTTTGGAGTACACAGAAAAATTAGTGAAACAAACTCATCCTGACCATGTTTATTTATAATATCCCAAGCGCATACCCACATTGATTAGAAGTACTACTTTCATGAGTCTAAGGGATTGAAAGGGAAATACCACTTCTAACAAAGCAACGAGTTTAACCCTTTTTAGTTCATATGGACCTGTCTAGGGCAACAAGCTCATTCAGAAAAATTTACTCAGCAAACTGGATTATTATGCAAGCAAGATTAGTCATTTCATCAATTCTAGAGGGTTTAACTTTCTAATTTCCTGAACTAAAGTGCATGTTTATATTTATCGTACGGAGTCTATGGACATTTAAAATTGAATGATTGCAACTATTTTAATAAAATAAAATTAACGAATTCAAAAACAAATATCTCACCTTGTTCAGGGAGCCAAGTTGTACAACTCCCAGTGGACCAACAGGTGCAACGACAATGGTCTGCAGAAGAATGAAGTTTAAATTAAGCAAACTCTTCAGTCCGTACCCAACACAGCACAGAAACAAGAATTTTTTTTTTAATAACCTCAGATCAGGCATACCTTAATTCCAGCTGCAAACTGAGCTTGCCATCCATCACAGAGCTGGGTACAGAAACAACATATACAAAAGGGAATAAGTGGGGATTAATATAAAATTATCTTATTAAGACAAACTACCATTCATGAGTGGCAACACACCTCTGGTGGTGTGCAGGAACTCGTTGCCTGTTCACAAGCAAAAATCCAACGATGCTTTCCAGTAACAGCCACCTGGCCAACAATTCTGTTCAAGAAATTCTGTTAAACGAATTTACACACAGAAGAAAATTTCGAAGAACAAATCATTACAAGGACTCCATATATCTGGCAAAACTTACCCTTCCCCAAGAGAATAAACATGGTAAGACATCTTTGCCACGGCCAGGCCAACAGGATCATGAGCAACATGCCCATCATGCAAGCTTTCAAATACTTCACCAAAGCTTTTACTCTCCGAAGAATCAAATTTAGAGTGATTATTGTAGAAAGCATCTTCCCAAGTCAATACCCTGGAATAAATTTCACAGTATATAATTCAATTCACAAACATGTTATTATGTGACATGCCTACAAATCTAGAGTCATTGTGGTCTGGTAATGGTTGTATATAGCGCATTTGGGGAGAGGGATAGGGGAAGGATATGGAAACGAGGCATTATCTGCTCCAACAAAGTCAGAACGTAAATTTCACTATAATACCTCTACCAATCAAGACTGAAATTGTAATACCTCAAAACACCAAAGATGTGTGAAAATGAATGTCTTGCACATAACTTTCAAAATTCTATGTCATAATTTACTTTAGTCAAATGGTCCAAAAACGCATGTTACAAGAATCAAAAAAAGTAACATCTTAAACAATACTTTTACATGACTTACACATCAAACGACTTAGGGTCGAACCTAGTAAGAAAATGACTTTGTCGAATTAGGGTTTACCAACAATTTTAATAAAAAAATTAAATCAAAAAATTGACAACACTACTAGAAAAAGATGTGTGAAAATGTCAAAATGAGCATCTTAGGCATGATATTGCAGATGTTAATTAGTTTGTCAAATGTTCTATAGATTTAACCAAATCAAACAGGCAACAGAGATCCAAATAAAATGACAACACTAACACAAGACTTCAGCATTTTGGTAACCTTTACTGTTAAATTTGGAAAAGTAAAATTGAAGTGACATTAATACATGCTATTACACAGTTTATATCCTAATTTTACCAACCACATTTAGTTAGAAGGTAATTACTAATTAGTAATAGTGTGTGATCATCTCAAATGCCACTTTATAGATTTCCAGTAATGCATCCTATAATCTTAACTCTGCAGCATCCAAGTAATCAAACAATACACAAACATCAATGAAAGCGTAAAGGGCAATATCAACTCAAGCTAGAGAGAAGAAACTTACATTCGAGCACGATGTTTGAGCTTCCAAAATACCGCGTAATTCCACTCAGTATTCCAACATAGGCTCCGAAGCAACTGCTGCAAGTGAGTTGCCATCTTGGCACTCACCAGCAAATCTAAAGTCTAAAATCCCCCTTCCCCAACTAAGAACAATTGCACCCCGCCGAGCTCGGGCTTGTTAGTTAAAAATGTCAATCTGTCACACAAAATCACCAGCCTAAAATATCTCAATTATCTAATCTAACTTCCTCTGTATGAACCTCTACCAGCCTGTTTCCTCCTCAACCCTGCACGCCGCTTTATTGGCGGTCCAACATTTGGTACCAGCAGGCAATCTCTCCCCATTGAAGTAACGAAAGACCCTAAACACAGACCCTAGAAGCAGTCTCCAATCAAAATACCCTTAAAATTACTAAAATTCACAACAATTTCACAAAACTAACCATACCCACAACATGATTTACTTTATAAACACTTTTTTTCAAACAATATTCCATCATCAATACAAATTCACTATATGGGTATTACCTAATTCACCAAAAAAAAAATCCAAACTTTACTCAAAAACTCAAGAATTCTTATAATTTAACTAATATCAGAAGACATTGTTAGTCAAAAAAGTATGAATCAATTGATGCAGAATTGATGAAAACACAACTGCAATTCTCAACAAAAACTGAAATTTGAAGCTATAATTAATCAACAGAAGAGAGTAATTTCAGTTGCAAACCAAGAATCTGAAGAAGCTGTAAAAATTTGAATGGAAGTAATGAACTTTTTCTTTTTACTTTGCTCAAAGTTTGAGTCTTTCTCTTACAGCAAGTTCCTCAGCAACAAGAAGAAGCTCAATCCTCTGAAAATCAATCAATTCCATCACCTCCCCACCCCTTTATGAGAGAGAAAAATTCCCAAAAAGTAGAAAAAGAAAGTGACCCTTTTAATTTAATTTCATTTCCCTTTAATTTTTAAGTTAAAAAATCAGCAAATTGGAGCCAAGTTTTGATCTTTAGCCTCCTTTTTTAATGTGGGTGTTTATAATTAAAAACTAGAGTAGCTTTTTGAAAAAAATTTCTTGCTTTTGAGTGTGCAATGTGAAGTGCCAATCTCTAACCTACTCCGCCCTTATCCTACGCACCCTTTACCCTTCCTTATCCTACGCACCATGCACAACTTAGCCAATAACATTACCACTAGTTTCTTTACTATGCTCAAATAGTGAATTTACAAGTACCCTTCTTCTTTTAGCAACAAACTCACAAATTATAGAGAGAAAGTTAGGTTTTTTTTTTTTTTTGGGAATTATGATTTTAATTTTTGAAGGGTTAGTGGAAAAATTGTTGGGTTTTTTATAAAAATGAAATCCAAATTGTAATTGAGTAGTAGGTCATAAAAGAAGTGAATCAATGGCCAACAACATGATGTTATGGTGAGGAATTGCTTCTTATCCTCCCATCACTCTTCTTACACATCCAAAAAAATCAAACTTTTTAACCACAAATTTTCTCACAAAAAAGGGCTTTTTTTGCACCATGATTTTACTGCTAAAAGTTGTGACACCCACCCACCTTAAATTCATTTGTCCTTATCTTTATAATGTATGGTTTTTATGTGTATTATTTTTCCTTTTTAATTAATTTGGATTATTTGTGAGGTTTAATCCATGTAGAAAATCTAATTAACATGATGGTTTATAGGAAGTCTTATCCTTTAAATTTGGAAAATAATGTTTGTACCATATGTATTGTATTCCCTATCAACTTACTATTCTCCAATAGTTGAATTGATTTCCTTTCTATGCTCTATCTATTCTAGTGAATATGTCAAAGCTATTAAACATGCATTATCTAGTCAAATTATCCCTATAACTTATTATTATTATCCTCGTATTATATGTCCATTTCACCGATTTTTTCATAATACATTCTGCGATCCATGTACGTACGTACTATATATATTGTACTACGGAGTACTATATTGTCCATAATAATATTCTTAAAAGACAATATGAAATGAAAGGAGTATTATTAATTTTTTTATTTCTTGAGGAAATGAAAGGAGTATTATTTGCCAAATACGAAGCATCTATTAGGCATTAGCTACTAGATATATTTTGCCGATATATATATAACTTAACAGCTAGGAATTTGTATAGCAAATAAAGTGATCGAACCATTTGTAGCCATGAAAAGAAAGTCATAGATACAAACACTTATCTTCCTTGGTCATTAGCCTCATTAGTATTACCACACGCTCACATACATGAGTAAGTTGTAGTGACATTAGTAAAATCTTATGTCAAAATTTTATTCTATTTTAAAAGAATTGTAATAAAATTTACTTATATTTCAAGTTAATTTATAGTCATTTCACATCTATCGTGCTTACTTATTATTATTTGGAGTGTTTATTACATGTCAATCGTCAAACACTCAAGCTCCATTGCAATTTGCATGCATGCATGCAAAACATAATTAATCCTTAGTATTATAAGATTCTACGTACAGCTTTCCGATTGCATTGCATGTAAAATAATTGAACTATATATCTCAATGAAATTTTGTTATGACATTGCTCTTGAATTGCAACAATAACTTAAGATTTACAAACCATATGGTAGATTGGTAGTACAGTATTACTACAAGCTAAGTGTTTCAATCCGACTAATAAATTTAATAGCCAATTTTAATTTTGTTATATTTATTTTCATTTATTTAGATAGCTCTTCTAATTTTAAAATTTTTGTAAGAGGTCTACATGCAGATTATTTCCTTTGATAAAAATATAAAAATAAATAATACCATATTGGAATAATGTAACACCATAATGTAACAATTCTTACATTGTTCAAAAAAACTTACAAAGTACTACTTTTGTAAATTTATTATTATATATTTGCCTTTAAAATAAAATTATAATTTGAATTATTTCCTCTAACCCATATTCATGACATGGTCGGTATATTGAGAGTTTTATGTTCTTGCACCACACCAACTCAACATTATCCTTCAAGTATAATGATTTCTACAACAAAGGTCTATATATAGTGATTATTACCATTGATCATATCTAATCATTTTTCATACTCTCACCTTTATAAAATCTTATGTTAAAAACCTAATAATTTTTTTTTTTCATATTTAATTTGTCTATTGAGCTAACAAGGCCAAATTCAATTGGTAGTCATGTAGGAGTAGAAACAAAAATAGTGATGAAAAAAAAAAAGTGAAATCATAACAAGAAAAATCAATCATGGTAAATTATCACATAAAAATGTTGCTTTAATCAAGAAGATTCACTTTGTCGGAAGTAATAGATCAAAATGCCATACACCTATATTGACTATATTTTTTTTTTTAAATGTAGGCAAAAATCATCACTTAAATCATTCCATTTATTCAAAACTGTTTCAATTTTATTAAGCATGAGATATGAGTTTATGAAGGAATTAACGACCATAATAATGGCTCTCAAACAACATGCATCATATATGGATCGTGAACTTGTTTCCCTTACATAAATAGGTCAACTATAACTTTCTCAAGCACTCTTCACTAAGAAATTAAATTAACCTTTATCAAGTATGTAGGGAGTGTTTGATTATGGTATAGTAAGATCTTTTTAACTTTATAATATAAAAGACAAAAGCAAGATTTTGCATACTATTGTAAGTTAACACATTATTGATTTAGGTGGACTTTCATTAAGTTATTTGTAAGACGGATTTAAGTTATTGTTAAAGTTACCCTCAAATAATCGTCTCATAGTAAAATTAATGTAAGCATGTCCTATATATAAGACTTATTGTTGTAAGTTTGTGACCAAGCTAATTCAAATTCCGAATTACCATAATCCGAAAATAATGCATATTTTTTTCTATTAATGAAGCATATCTTTATTACTATATGAATAAAACTTTATAAACTTAAAAGTTTTAGAGACTGAAATGAGAAGAACTTCATGCATGGATGAAGGGAGTAGTAATTAAAGGTAAGTATAAAAAAGAATTTTCTGATCTAATTATTATTTTTTGCTTAAATCATGCAATTTGGAAGAGATGGAAACAATGCATCAATTACATAGTATATTATTGATGAGTATTTATTTTTTAAAAAATAAGGAGTGTCATATTGGCAATAATTCAACTAATTAATTTCGAATGGATAGAATATATATAAGAAAATTCGAGTGGATAGAATATATATATTACTTTCGAATGGATAGAATAATTCGAGTGGATAGAATAATTCAACTAATTAATTTCGAATGGATAGAATATATATATTACTCGCTCTGGCCGGGGAAATAATTAAAGAGATCCCTACTCAAGTCTTTCTAATGGCTATTTCGAGTAGATGGTTAATTATCTAAGAAAATTCAGCTGGTTAAGTGATCAATATAATCATTATACATCTTTTTCCAACCAGTGAAAAAAATATATAAATACATTAGAAAAGTAATTTAAAATGATGATCATGAGTACAAAGTGACAAATTATAATGATACACCATTCCTTTCTTATTTTGTCAACCCTATACGAATGAAGTACTTTGATCCTACAAGGTGTTCAAATTCTAGTTGGCTTGGTCCACTGTTTCAAGTCCTATTCATACTTATATACGAGATTATGAGGCAAGTCTTATGTAAAGCACTATAGGGGCACAGATTTCTTAACCTAGCTCGGACATTTGATATATTACCTTTGTTTCATATATAGGTGTCAATCACTCATGACGTACATGCTAAATTCTAAACTTTGAATCTGTTCACATATACTGAACTGAGCTGAATTGACTGAACTAAAATAGACTAAACTGAATAAAGTTGAAATGAATATTTTATGAGAGAAGAAAATTAAGAGCTGAACTGAACTAAACTGAAGTTAATTAAGTTGAAGTGAACAGACCCTTGTTATACTTTCATCTCATTTATATTGTATGATTTTAAAAATTAATTAAACTGACAATAATAATATACTAAATGGACCTTGAAAATCTAGCTCTAAGGATTCAAAATGAATCCAAACCTAAGTTTTAAAGCAAATTTCTAATTAAAAATGGAACTCTTTCTCCCAAAGAGACACATGCACAAATGTAATTAATAACATTTTCAAGCTTATATATAAAAAATTAAAATCCAAGGCCACCATTCATGGAAATTGGAAAATTCTAAGGTTTCCTTTTATATTTCTTTTGGCCTCCCTAATTATTTATAGAAGGAATAGGGAACCAAAATCAAGTTTAACAGATTTTGCAGCTTAGCTTTTTACTAACATTGCAATCTATAGAGATGACTTCTAAGTCTTTCTACCAATAAGTACTTCTTCCACAAACCCACCCAAAATAAATAAAACTTAAAAAAATATATAAAAAAATGCTTTTTCTCTCTTAAATTTCCATTTTTATTCTCTTGCCAAAATAGTCAACATAATTAGGCGAGAAAATGGATTACCAAATTAGAAATATACTATTTATGATCGCATTTTCGAAGGTATACTTTGAATAGTAATTAGGTAATGCGATAATTAATATTAGGAGTATAATATAATGTACATTATAATATATGCTTTTCTTTTAATATATATGTATGTGTGTATTATGATTAGTCAACTATATGAACTTCATACCTATCTAGCTTATTAGTTAAGGTCAAAAGGTAATTTAAAGTTGGATTATAGGATTAATGAAGTGCTAAAACACACTTTTTAGCATGATATTTAGTTTTATAAGCCAAGTTATTTGATTAAATTTGTTGGAAAGTCATGGTGTAGCTCCTAGGTGACTTCAAAATTAAATCAATGTGTGTGGCTTGTGAAGTTAGGGGTTGGACAAAGTGGGTGCACTGGGTCCAGTTGGTTGGAGGGTTGGGGTTTTTGGGAGGGCATTCAAATTTGATCCGCCGAGTAAGGTCTAATGTATACTACTTTCGTTTTTTTTGGCTTACTCTTGTTTTTAGGAGAGACGAGTGGATCATGTATGAAAAAAAAATACATTAATATACATGGAATTACTTTGTTCCTCTTACTTTATCCACTCACTTTATCCTTGGAGTCATATTTGATGAAATAGTTTTTCTAATGTTGAAAAATTGGAGAAAATAGTTGTTTATATGTTATATACACACTTGGATGAACAAAATCTAACGGTCAATTAATAAAGAGAAATTAAACATTATGCATTGTCTTTAATTTGGATGTTTGGTCTCAAGAAAAAACGAAAAGCCTACAACAATTTACTACCAAGCTAAGTAAGAAGTTCTAATACGAGTATATATATATGTACACATGCAATCAATATTTCAATCTATGGAATATTTGTTAAGACAAGACCATTCCACAATAAAAAGGAATAGCTCTATTATTATTTTTATGTGCATAATGTTATCTTCTTATCATTTATTCAATGCTAGATAAGTTTTTTCCACACTAACACGTAAAGTTCTCGATCATCAACCTCCATCCGATTTTGCTTGTTTGTTTTTTCAACTTAACTTCAATCTATGTCCTATTTGGTTTGATGTAAAATGTTTTCATGAAAAATGATTTTTTTTTTCATTTTATTTTTCTTCTCATTTTCGTGTGTTTGGTTTGTGAAGGGGTGCAAAACAGTTTTCCAATGGTGGAACAATATAGCCTAAAAGGGAAGCCACATTTATTTTCCTTCTGTCTTCCTTTTTTACTTTCCTCTCTTCCATCCTTACATTTCCACCCCTAATTTTATTTTCTTTATAGCTTTTCTTGATGAAACCAAACAAAGAAAAACTAATTTGCAATTGTAGTTTTTCTTGAAAATATTTTTCCGTGAAAAAACTAAATTTTCATTAAAAGTATTTTACATCAAAGAAAAACTAATTTGCAATTGATATGATTTTTTTTTTTTTTTTTTTTTTTGAGGAACAATTGATATGTGATTCTTGGTTATTTAATCAAAATTTTGAAAGTGAAATTAATACGATTAATATACAAACAATTATTTAAAAAAAAAAAAAATCGACAATGGTTTGCTTTTCAATGACGTTTTACATACAAAGAGTGCGATATAATGCGATGTCAAAAATGCATGAAATGTTAAGATCAAAATTTGACTAGCCGTCCTAGCTATTAGCTATACTTAAACAGTCAAACCATCCACCTCCCCTAAATTCCTTATTCCTATAGGCCAGTTTTTATAAATTATTTTTAATCTATTTTTTTAATTTATTTTTTTTAATTTTAATTTTTTTAGAGGGAGGAGTAGTTAGCTATACAAAATTTGTAGACTTGTTAATATTGTGTTGCAATATGGGATCACAGTACAAACTTTAAAAAACCGATAATATGAATAACATTTTGCAAATGTCTTTCAATCTAAAAACTCGAAATTAAAGATCTATAGCTACCTACAACCTTAAGACAATTTTTTTCTAAAAAAAAAAGGAAAAAAAAAAAGGTGATCCAATTATTTCTTGAATTGTTTAACTTCAATAAATATACAAATTAGCAAAAACAAAACTTAATTATCATTGGATTACCAATCCATGCTAGCTTGATGATTAATTAGCCATGAGACTTTATGAACCTTACATATCTCACTTCCAAAGGGTGAAAGGGACCACACAAAAAAAAAAATCCAAGTTAAAGGGAATCCAATGAGGCCAATGATCACCTATGTATTATGTACACTGAAAACACCATTTTGCTTTTTTACATATTATAATTTCTAATTTTGACAATATGCATGATTAATATGATTGCCATACATTGAACAAACCAAGTTTTTTTTTTTTTTTTTTTTTTAAATTTTCTTTTTTTTACTTTATTTATTTTTATAAATTATAATTTAAGGGGCCTAGTACAGTGAAAGCAAATCTTACCATGCTTGTTCTTTTATATGAAAGCGTAAAACCTCATGAATGCATGTTTTTTTAAAGAAAAAAACGTTGTTTTTTTTCCTAGATTCTTGAGAAATCAAAAGATATTCCAAATGTCAATTAAGGTAACCAGAAAACTATTGCCTACCGATTTTGTTGGACATGTAGACATGGTGATTGGACGAGTTGAATCAATGCGGGTCATGGGTCAAGAGTGTAGATTGATGGTACAAAAAAAAACTTATAGAACAATCAAGGAAAATAAAAATGTGAATTAAAAGAGCCAAATACAAGTGCATATAATTAGCACGCTAAACTAGCTTAGCTTGTGTGTAACTTATTTACTTATGTTGGCACGTATAAATGAAAGGGTTGATCAAATAAGACGGAATATATATAACAATCGTATGTAGGTGCATGATATTGTCGTTTCAACAAGGGTATAGATACAACAAGAAAGGAAATTTCAATTTCATGGGTTCAAAACAATAATATTTTGCCCTAATATAATGAGTTGAGATTCTTTTGGAACGATCTTGGGAATCTTCATTGAATTAGTAGGGAGGCCTACGCCATAGAAAATATAATAGCAAAGAGTTAAACTTTTATTTAACAAATATAATATAATTTTATAGCTAGATTGTTCTGCTTCTTTTGTCAAGCACCACTCGGGGTTATTACATGCATGTGTTAACAAAATTGTGCTTAAAATTCATGATTAATTTTGTTTCCGATATAAGACATATATATTATATATGAAATGGTTTCATTGTTAAGCTTTTAACATTTAGAGAAAATACGTAAGAGCAATAGTTGTTTGATAGAAGACGTAAGTTAAAGTGCATTAATTCACATGAAAATTATAGACCATTCATCTGAAATGCTAGATATTATGCTCAAGATTGAGATGCTTATGATATCGTGGCCACCATGTTTATATGCAAAGCCGTAAGTACGTACAAAGTGCAGTCCACATGCAAACCTAAATTTACTCCGTATATTTAACTCACATTTATTTTAATTGCTATCTAGACTACCTTCGTAAAATTAGCCTCAACACCTATTACTATAGCTTGGGTGCATTAAACATTCTAAATTTTGACTAATAGTTGACACATCACCAACTAGTAAATTGGAGTGCAACGCATGTCATTAATGAGTATATTTTGGCAATTAGATTGAGATATTTATGGTAATTAAAGGATAATTGGTGGTACACGTTGCAAATCAATATGTAGTTGATAGTATGTTATCTATTTCTATAAGTACTATAACTCAAAGTTCGGGTTTGAGGTGTTGGGTGCACCCGAACTATAACTAAAGGTGTTAATGCCAATTTTACCCTTTTTTTTTTATTAATGTTTAAGGTACTATAGTTTAAGGTAATTTTTACCGGTTTAAGAGTTGATCAAATAGTTGGTCTTGAGTTTAAACTTTATAAAAGCAAATTTTTATTGTTGATGATGTGGCAAAGCCATGTAAAACAGTATCCATTTAATATATATATATATATATGGGCTTCATAAAAGGTGTTGTATCATCCATTAACATTGGGCTTGCAATTGACCCAATTTCCCATGGTTGTAGGCTTGGAGCCTGATCAACCGCATGATCCTTTTAGCACCGCTTTGTTAGTTGATTAAAAGATTAATTAGACAATGTTGAAGTTGGCTAGCCAGGGGCTACTTTGCCAGTCATATCGTGTTGTGTCCTCTCATGCTAACCAGTTAACCATGATCTCCGTAAGAGGTTTTCTGGTTATGTTTAATATTTGGTTGACCACTTAATTGATCATGCCCATTTGAGGACCACTTATCATTCCGGGGCTAATGTTCTTAAACACAGCTCAAAACTCGTCAAAAGAGTATTATCCTTTTCATTTCATGCTGAAACAACTCTTTATATAGCACGCCAGATAATGGGCAATGGCATACTAATCGTAAATTAATCATATACAAGTACACAAGGTGACATCGATAAACAAGATTAGAATATTTGGTATATATGCGAACAATCTTAAATTTCATAATTTTCGAACTCCCAAATAATCAAAACTAAACCACCCATCCATTGAGAAATAACGGTAGCCAGCAAAACTTAGATACCTAGAAAAGGTAAGATTGGTAACCAATGCATCATATTTGTTCTGGGACCCCAAAGTGTCACCCTCAACTTCTGTTACACAAAAAAATTCCAGCATTCAGAACCAGAACCAAAAGGACACCCTAAGTAGATTGAACACATAACTACCCTTTCATGATCCAAGGTTTCGACGCCTCCATCTGTGTAAAGGAGACATGTGCAAGAATCAAAGAACCATAAGGCCGATAAGGATACTTGTTATAAACACAGCATCAGCCATTATTCTCGCATATCTGCATGTAAGATCACAAATTGGAATCTGTAAGCTAACACGAAAAAGGAACAACAGCGCAGCAACTGTTTTAAGCGGCCACATGTGCTCGCATCAGATTTGATCTATGTCATGGTAACAAGTACACAGGTTTCATACAGTCCCCAGAAGTCTAAACAGGGACACCAAAAGTGAAAAGAGAGTTGGGCACTAAGAATAACCAACATGGTCCACTATGAAGTTTGGAGAATAAGCATCTTAATGTGCTAAAATAGTACTAGTTAGCATAAAGCATATGAATGTTATTCTTTACCAAGACTCAAAGAATTCTAAGTTTAGAAAAGATAAATTTCAGCTTATTAAATAGAGACGTGATCTTCACTTTCTTGAGATTGCTATAGGTAGAATCAAGTAGGTTCGTCTACTTCAGTAGACCGTCTTCATTAGACCACGTTTAATAAAACAGTTCAAAATCATATTCCAGCTGCTACATGCGTGTACACAAGCGCACTGTGCCATTCCTACTTTACTTTGTGAGCTGACTTCTTGATTAACCAGTGCAAATATTATATCAGCAGCTGCCACAGCCTAGAGTCCTGACTATTCCTAGGAGAACAGAAACAAGCTTATGCTATAGACAGTGCTTCTAGAATTCTAATAAACCTGATTAGATTACCTCAGATTATTTAAAGTACCTCAGATAAGAAAGTGGAAACGCAGGGCAATGCCATATGATTATGCAGAATCTCGCTTAAGTGAGTGAAACCTCCCCTGAAACTTTTAGCCAAAGAGCTCGAGTGATCACTCAACTAGAGATAGCTGAAGGAGACAAAAAAACAAAAACAAAATGTTAATAGTAGAAGTACAAAACAGTTCAGTAACACTCAAACGCGTGGCTTTTCCTAACTTTCTAAATAAAGGACATAAACTTAATGCTCATTAAGGGCTATAATTAGCAAAAAAATAGATTTCAAAAAATCAAGAAGCAAGAGATCTAGTGGATTGCACTGTTAGAGCCAGATAAAATAAATAAATGAAAAAAAATAAACGAAGCTTCAGTGTAGCATTTTCTTACTTTTCCTGTGTCATTTCCACCATTTGCTCCCTTCCGCCCACTGAATATTCCACTTATTTCCCTGCAAGTGCACCAATGCTCAAGAACTTCAATCAGACAAGATAAAGTCCATTTATATTTTCAATCAAATATATTTACAGAATTTCTGTACATGAAAACATGGGAATATTGATAAAATAACATATCCTGGGTATGCAAAGAAGGGGGCGGGGCAGGGACACACAGAATATTTCTCCTTTTGGAATTATATTATTTCTTTTACTCTCATTTGTGTGCAAATTAGAAAGCACGGCCATGAATGGGTCAAGAACATGATACGTACAATATGCCAAGAGAATCGAACAGCTTTTAAAAACGTCCATTATAAAAGTTAAAGACATCATTGGCTATAGGCTATGCTTATTAAGAGGAAGAAGAGCATTCAATAATACAAAGTCATGGTTATTGATTCTATTAGTATGAGGGTCACTTGCAGAAGGCTCAGGCCACACATATTCATGGTTTTAGTTCAGTTGGCCTCGGCCTTTCTTTATTTCATAACAGAAGCTGCTTTCAACCATGGGATGAATCCTCATGTTTACGTCACCTACCGCCACATAGTAGGTTGTATTGCAGTCTTTCCGTTTGCCTATTTCCTTGAAAGGTGCATACAAGTCTACAAATCCCTCCCCCCCGCCCCTCTATTAAAAAAGGGGGAAAAACTGACAATGATTTGAATCTTCACTTGTTATTAATTCTGACATTCTGAGCGTTGTCACTATAATCCCTTGGTGCAGGAAAACAAGGCCAAAGATGACACTCAGCATGTTCATGGAAATCTTTCTCTATTCTCTACTTGGGTACGTCACTACTCACTTCTAATATGTTCAATTCTACAGTTGAAAGTTCCTGATTCATTTTTGCATCTTTGTAAAAGTTACAGTTTGTATTACTGCATCTTTGTAAAAAAGAGATCTGAAAGTTTTTTTTTTCCCCACTGATACCAGAGTGGGATTAACAATAAACATGTACTTTGCAAGTCTACAATACACTTCACCAGCATTTCTGTCAGCAACAGTAAACACGATTCCTACTTTGACTTTTATACTAGCAGTAATATTCAGGTGATACCAAGTTTCTGTTGTAATAGCTATGTCCTTTAGCAGATTAATGAAACACAGATCTTACCTTCTAATGTAAAATGATTTAAGCATGTAATTGCAGTTAAAAAAACTAACCTTTGTGGTATTTCCAAAATCATATGCAGGCTGGAGACTCTAAACTTGAGAAAACGTCGAGGACTAGCAAAAGCAACTGGAACTTTAATATCATTAGCTGGGGTCATGGTCATAGCATTATACAGAGGACCAGCAATCAGACGCCTGTATGAACCTCCAATACACCTGATGAAAAGCGAGTTCCACAAAAATTGGATAAAAGGTCCAATACTTTCACTAGCAAGTTGCATATCCTGGTCAATATGGTTCACAATGCAGGTATCTCAATCCCTAGCTAAATTTTTAACAGCACAATGCAACCAAGTACATGTTCAAAGAAGTTCCTAGCATACACATGTGTTCAAGAAGCTTTCAAAAACAAATGAGAAAAGGAAGATACAATGAGTTTCAGTCTAGAATTATCTCAAGGACATCAATGTTTCAATTGCATAAGAAACACTTTGTATCCAACAAAGGCAACAATGCATGTGAGAGTAATAGGGCTATTAGTCTATTAGTAAACTCACATCCTAATGACTTATTTATAAGTGCTAGCATGAGCCAAAATATTACATCATAAATACAAGTACCAGATTGATTTTTAAAAATGGAATTACTAGATTGAGCTTGTACGGACCACTCATTTGGAATAGGAAAATACTTGGTACTAGCAGTAATTTGGCATTTAGAAAAGAAAACTTAAACGGAAGAGTTTTCAAGCAAAAAAACATACTGTTAATATGATGTTGATCCTTGCAGGGATTCACTTTGAAGAGATATCCAGCACCACTGTCATTAGCCACATGGGCAAACTTTATAGGAGCATTACAATCTGCTGCTTTCACTTCCTTGGCAGTTCGACATCAACCAGCTGCATGGGTCAGGCATTCCTTCATAGACATAGCCACTATTCTGTTTGGGGTAAGTTGAATCTGGGAATAACAGAGTAAAATACATTTTCAACAAATCCCTCCCCCCTCTTCCCATTAGCTGGAAGACATAATAAACAGTTATTGGTGATAAATTGCAGGGAGTGGTTTCCTCTGCTTTAAACTTCATCATGATCGTATGGTATTCGAAAGAAAAAGGTCCTGTGTTTGTAACTATGTTTTGTCCCTTACAAACACTATTAGTGGTGATTTTCGCATATTTCATTGTTGGTGAAAAACTATACACGGGCAGGTAAGCGAAATTACTAAAATCCTCTTTGTGCTTACTATGACGAATATATTAGACGTCCTAAATTATGACTGGTTGTTCAGCATCATAGGAGGAGTTACAATCATCATAGGTCTGTATCTGTTGCTATGGGGAAAAGAAAAAGACCAAGAAATCAGAGTCTCAACTAAGAAGCAACCATCCCTGTCTGCCACCAAGCAGACTGAACCAAAGATGCAAATAGTGACAGTGCCAGAAAAAGAGCAACTGGATCACTAGATGAAACCTGCAAGGAAGAAAAAATATTGATACTCTCGTCAACTAACTGAAAAAGACAGTAGCATATGGACCAAGCTTTGCACCAAAATGTTCATTCCAGAAGCTATCAAACAGCAACAGGAGTGCAGACAAAAAGATAAAAAAAAAAAAGGCAATTCTCCGGCTCATGCAAACAACATTACAGCAATATACGCTAGAAAAACAGATATCACGGCAAGTATAGAGAGTTAGAAATAAACATGATAGCAGATTTTGTATTGAGATATCATGACAAGAGCAAGAATTAATACATAAGATACCAAGATGTCTGACCATCCCACATTTAGCAAAGTACATCAGAATGTTTACATATTGCAGGTGATTAAGAGACAAAATTGACTAATCTTTCTTCCACATTTTAGTTTTTGAGAGATGAGTTTGACAAAATAAAGGAGCATGAAATTCAGGAATATATGTTGAAGGAACCTATGACAACATTATGATAATTTCTATGTCATTAAAAGCATGCAGATTATTCTGCATTATAAATTGACACTTCAACCCAATTCATCAGGAAGGTTGGACCATTAGACTACGGAATAAGTACTTTCTACTCTCTTATTCACATTCCACCTCTGTATATTATCAATAAAGATTCAGGTTATGAAAGTCGCTATATTGCTTTCTACGTCACATGATCTAGTAATCCTTGGTTAATAAAATCAAAAAGACTTTCCAGTATGTTGTATATCTCTTCTGCTCTGGGATGTGTTTTATCAGCAGAATGAAACTGGTGGATTCTGCAGTTAACCTCAATCCAGCTGCAACCAGGGATCTTTTGTGCGTCCTGCTCCTTCAACATCTTCCTCACTCCACGGACCTCATCCCACTTAGCCAATCCCACATAAAAATTTGCTAACATTGACATGTAGCCACCATTATTAGGATCAATCTCAATCAACTTTCTGATTGCAAACTCCGCTAAATGTGAATTGCCATGAATTTTACACCCATTGAGCAGGGAACCCCAGATAACCTCATCAGCTTTGACCTTCATGCCACTGATAATGTCCATAACTTCTTCAAACCTACCTGCTCGACCAAGAAGATCGACTACACACCCATAGTGCTCAACTTGAGGCTCAATACCATAGACTTCGGTCATTAAGCCAAAATAGTAATATCCTCTCTCAACCAAACCTCCATGAGTACAAGCATTCAACAGACCAATAAAAGTAATTTCATCAGGCCTCACATCGTTCCCAGTTTGCATCATTTCCTCAAAAACATCAAGTGCACTCCTACTTTGCCCATGAAGTGCATAACAATTGATCATTGAATTCCAAGATGTCAAACTTTTAACAGGTGTAGTGTCAAAAACAAGTCTAGCTTCCTTCAAGCAACCACATTTTCCATACATATCAATCAATGCATTCGAGATATAAGAATCACCACCAACACCCTTTCTACAAATATAGCCATGTGTTTCCTTCCCAAGCTGAAGCATACCCGTTTGACCGCAAGCAGAAAGAGCACAAGCCAAAGTAACTTCATTCGGTCTAAGCTTCATCCCACATGAAGCCAACATTCTTCTAAGGTACGAAATCGCCTCCGGAAAAAACCCATTCTGTGTGCACCCAGCAATTATAGCATTCCAAGAAGGAACATCCCTTTCAGGCATTTCATCAAACAGAATAATCGCATTCCCCATCTCCCCCAATCTAGCATAACCAGATATCATAGCAGTCCAAGATACAACATTTCTCTCAGACATTTCATCAAACAGTTGGCGTGCAGTCCCAAAATCAGAACAAAACCTAGTATAAGAATCCACAAGTGCAGTTTGAACAATAGAGTTTGATCCAAAACCTGTTTTTACAATCTGGGTATGCACCATTTTCAATCCATAAGAATCAAAAACTTCAGAACTTGATTTCAGAGCACTGGGGTAAACAAAATGGTTAGGTCGAGGACGACCCTTATCAACCATGTTCTTATACAAGCTAAGAACTGCAAAATGATTGGATTTAGCTGCATAAGCATTGATAATTGCACTGTAGAGGTAAACATTTGGCGAATTGACATGATCAAAGATCAAATGAGCGTAATGAAGGTCGGAAAGATGAAGGGTGCAGAAACGAATGAGTCTGAAGACGAAGAACTGAGCTTGCGCATGACCAAGAGTGATGAGAGAGGATTGGAGTTGTTTGAGATGGTTGAGAGTTTTGCACTTTTCGAGTATGGCTACTACAGTTTCAGTCAAGTTGGAGGTGTTGGAGAGGGTGACCATATTCTTACTTGCATAATGATTGAGCGGGAAAGGATGTGCTCATGTGCCAGAGGTAAACATAGCTTTGGACCGTGTCGGGTCGGGCCTTATGTCAGACCCACGTGCTTAGGGGTTAGGCTTGGTCCATGACTCAACCCACGAGTTTCGTGCCGTGTCGTGTTGGGTTAAAGTTTTTAAAAGGTTGGCCCGTGCATGGCTTAGGCCCATGTGCCATAGTGTCGTGTCGTATCGTGTCCGGGCTTGCGTACCTAAACAAAATTGCATTACTTTGTCATGTCAGGCCCATTCGTGTCGTGTCTTATCATGCTTCTTCCAAATAAAGGCCCCCACAATCCACACACAAGTACTGTGCCATGCCGTTCTTTTTTCATGCGTGCCATGCCTTTTTCATGATGGGCTGTGTCGAGCTTTGGGCCAACCCGACCCAACACCATCTTTAGCCCGAGGTGATAGTAGTTACTTTCAACAAAAGTTATTCAATATGATAAGTAGAGGGAAAGTGTTGTTCTTATTGCACTTTTGTAAACTAATCTCGGGTGAATTTCAAAATAATCAAAACTCATTTTGGTACGTATACACATATTTATCGATGTCTTACGATTTTAAACCACCTTATATGATCCAAGACTCACCCCCATGCATTCAGTTCTTTTTTTGAAAAAATGTCAAAATTTGACTCGAAATCGTGTATTATAGCCTTCAATTTTGGGCAATTTTCTAATTTTTTTTACTCGGAAACAAAAATTGTCGATATGCTTAATATGGACTCTAATACATCCCAAGAGTCTATTTGAGTGGGTAAAACCATCCAAAATGTCTTTAAACGGTCAACTTACCTATTTACAACTTGCACCGATTTCATAAACCCAAGCGTACCACGGACATTTATGACAACATATAATGATAATATATGCTTCCAAACGGCATTATATGACCCCGAGATGTATCCCCTAGTATTTCAAGATTTTTCGACACTAGGTCCCGAAACCTTTAAAATTGCTCAAAAAAACGTGGATAAATAGTCTTCAATTTTGGAAAATTTTGGTATTTTTTGGCCCGGAAATAAAAATTGCTGAGATGTTTATAGTGGACCCTAATAGCCTCCGAGAGTCCAATTGGGTGGGTGGAATCATCCAATTCGCCTTTAAACATCCAATTTATCCGTTTTCGTACACGTCTCTTGTATTGACTATAAGTTCTCACAAAGCCTTTATGTAGCCTAATAATGGTCATATATGGGTCGAAGCAATATTATATGACCACATGATGCATCTCGTAGTATTTTGTGAACTTCCGACACTGAGTCCAAACACTTACTAAATTACTCCAATTTCGTATATTATAGCCTTCAAATTTGCCTTAACAAAAGTGATCGGTTGCAAACATCTATGACTCTTACAAAAATTGAACGTGAAGATACTGATAAGAACTCGGGTGAAAACCTCCCACAATGTAACTTCCAATATCATAGTGTAACTGTGTAAGGAAAAGTGTTGTTAATAGTATCAAGCATTTTAGAGGTTATAGGGTACTAGCTACCAAGACTTTAGGAGGTTTCCCTTCAATTATCATTTCCTTTTGCAATTAGGACCTAAAATTTTGTTACATGCTAGGTAACCTTTTCATAAGGTTTCCATATAACTCGTAGTTATTTACATAACCCATTAAGTCCCCAACTGTCGCAGACCTCTTCCAAGTTCAAGGCATGAAGCTGCAATGTTTGGCTAGTGCTAAAGGTAGCAGGCAGTTGAAGGAGAAGACGAGTTTGATGAATAATTTTTGTTAAAAGACAAAGCATTCAAACTTGACAGAAATTTGAAGAGCTTGACACATATAATCAATGGATTCCGTCATGATATATTGGAAAATCTCTATACAAATCACTAAATTAGACTAAGAGATCAGCTAAGAAATCAATCACTATTACACTACACATGTACAAAATGCAGCATGGCTGAAGCCTCAATTGGTTCATCCACTTGCCTTTCTACTGGATTAACTTACAAAAATCTAATAAAGCTCATTTACGTTTTCATGTTGTCAGATTATGGAAGCCTTCTAATCTCATTTTGCTTCGAACAGCTTGGTACGTATTGATTCATGACATGAAGATTTGTTGAGCCTGCAAAGACCACAAAAAATAAACATCAGCAAACACTAACAAAACTGTTGATATAAGCCTATAAGGAGTATATTCATTTGTGTAATGCGAAACAGCATCATAGAAAAGGCCTTGAAGGAAATTTACCGTAGAAGAGTATCCCCACTGAGGCTCAGCTGCTCAGATATGTATTCTGGTGCAACTTCTTGTAGCAACTTAAGTTGTTCTTCAATCTCGGCTGCAAAAAAGAACAGAAACATTTACAGTGAGAACAGCAGCAATATATGAATGACCAGTTATAAATTGACCAGAGTAGAAGCAAATCCTTACTTCTATCAACTACATCCAAATGACCAGCAATTAATTTGTAAATAAGCTCCTCTTTTGTGACAACTGATCGATTGATAGACTTGAATAAGAGGAGAATCATGTCAAAGAGCTTAGGTACACCCGCCATCAACTGTTGCCGCCTCTTTGCTTGTAAGAGGATTGGGTTGTTCTCTTCTAAGATTTTCTGTTCTTTCTCCATCAACTGCAAAATGGAGTTCTTCTCAGTTAAAACCTCCTTCAGATATGCAACACAAACAAATTTCACAAAGGTAAAGCTCCACTTACCGACTGTAAAAGGCCTTCCGGAAGTATATCCAGGACATCATCCTTGGAAAGATTGGACCCTTGTGTAGGAGCAATACTCTCATCAATATCAACATTGCTTTCATCAAAGTTCAAGGACCTACGTTTAGCTGATTTGTTGGGTAATTCACTAGTATCATGATCTGGGGTCATGAGAGTACGTTTTGGAGGGCGTATTGAAGGTGTGGCTGCCATCAGCCTTGCAGGAGTTGAAGCAAGCTCTGCAGGTGTTGAAGCAAATTTCATAGATATTGAAGCATGTTTGGCAGGTGTTGAAGCAGCATCAAAAGTTGCTGCATCAGCTTCAACTACAGTGTTAGAATCCACATCATTAGCCTCAGCAGATGAGGATTCCTTGGTTCCGGTTTCAGACAAGCTGGATGATGGCTTATCAGCCATGGAATCCAGAACTGGAGTACCAAGAGGCCTAGATGAGAACCGCCTCTTAAATGAGGGACCGGTAAGTGATGCAGTCAATGGTGCAGGGTTTTTAATCACGTTTTGCACAGGTTCCTGCTTTGGCTGATGGAATAGATGCGGTAATTCTCCTTCAGGAACATCTTCCTCATCCTGATAGTGAACAAAAGCCAATTCAAAATTCAGTAAGTGCATCAATTCATAGTCCAACAGCCTCCAATTAAAAGATTAAAGAAACACCAATTTAATACCTCATGATGAGATTTGTAATAGTCAAGCATTCGTGATCGAAAGATATCTTTCAATTGTGAAAACCCACTACCACCTTTAGCATTCTTGTCAGTTTCCAATGCAACCACCTCTAGAGACAAAAGAAGATCCTCCATCATACATTTTGTTTCATCATCTTGAACACGGAGTTTCTTCGCCACAATAACCTCTGGCATTATGTGCTTCAATTGAGCCAAGTGATGTAGTGTGAACCTCCTATGACAAATAAGATAGGTCCAATGCACTTTAAGATACATGAACTGAAGTACAACAAATCAACCAGGTTACATAAAAAAAAAAAAAAAAAAGTTCCATGCCAAATACTTCTAAAGCAATTACCTGTCTGTCAATGACTCGATACTCTTAGCAAGCTTAGTAAAGGTTGGTTGCTGTCTTCTCAACCGGAGTAGCCGAATTGAACCAACCATTGAATTGAAAAAGTCACATAGGATCTCATACCTATCATTAAATCAGTATAGGATTAGTACAACACTAATTAATCAACACAAACAATCTTCATTATCTTGTATTACAACTCATTAACATTGTAACTTAATAAGTTAATAAGATACTATCACCTCAATCAACCCAAATTTACAATAACATGCTGACAATGTAGATTAGCATAAAAACTTTTACAAATTCCAAACTACCAATCACTGATTCCAAAATATCAGAAGAGTGAACTACATTTCACTAATTCAGCTTTCAATTTGCCGCGAAATCGGCAAATTTTAGATTCATACACATAGAGCATACAGGATGTCAAGACACAATGAAAATCTAATTAACATCAAGTTAACCTCATAGATACCTTTCAATTACTCCAGGGTTTTACAGACACCTCAAAAATGCAATTCACTTAATAAGATTAAACCCTAATTTTTTCCAGATTTATAACAGCATTCACGAATTCACGAAACATCAATCAGCCTCAACGATTCACATAAATTGAAGTCAACTACAACAACATTTCCACGATTCAGGGTAATAAACAACCAGAAATCAAAGAATATCATACTGCATTACCACAATTAGTGCACAATTTTATAAACCCTAGTTTCCGCTAATTCGAAATGCCAGATTCAAAGGATCTCAAATCAACATAAAAAATAGCTAGAAAATCAAAACATTCCACATAAAACAAACATCAAATTCCACCAAACACAACAAACAAACAAAATTTGATTTTTTTTTTTAAAAAAGGTCAAATCAATTAAAAAATAGCTCGAAAATTTAATCAATCCATACTTTTGGGGCAAAGATGCAGGAGATTTCTGGGATCCCTTAGATTTCTGACCAATCCCACTTCCGACCACCTTCTCCGGCACCACCTTACTAAGATCCGACCCAACATTGTTAGATTTCTGCAGCTGAAGAGCAGTTCTTCGAACCTCGGAAACCGATAGCGCGAACTTCTGATTACGGATCCGAGTAACCGGCTTCGGATTAGCTCGTTCCGGGGTAGCGATAGCAGGACCGTCGGCTTTCGAGGTAATAATACTCTTCTTTTTTGGAGTAGCGAGCAATGGCTTCTTTGACTTGAAGGGGATCATCAATGGCTGTTCAGAGGGCTCCATTGATGAACTAAGAAGCAAGAAAATGAAGAAATTAGAGGGATTTGAGGAGGGAGAATGAGGAGAGAGAGAGTGAGAATGAGTGGGAAAAAATGGAGGGAGATTGGGGGGTATAAGAGGGAGAAGAGGGGAGTAGGGTTTTATGGCGGGAAGGTGTTTTACCGCCAATGTAAGCTTATTTTCGCGGGGAGTTTTGTGGGCTTTTTTATGGGCTTGTGTTGTGTGCCCTAGCCCATATATTAGTGGGCTGAAAATTTGGATATTATGGACATTATCCATTAGTTGATATTTATGGGCTTTTGATGGTTTGATTGTGTGATGAACTAATGGATAATGTCCACCTGCCCAATTGCCATGTTAGTCCAAACTGTAATGTTGTAAATTTGTTTTTTGATTGAATTTTTTTTTTTTTTAAAATAAAACAACTTGGAAGAAAGGAGTGTCAAATTCCAAATAACTTAACCTAAAAGGAACAGATTTTTTTTTTTACAATTAAACTGAAAATATGTTATTATACTCGTAAAATTCGTTTTATGATATAAGGTGACCTGGTTAATCTAATTGAGATATACAACTATAATACAAGTGCAATTATCAATCTATTAAACAAGATTATATCACTTGTAGTGTCTATAATAGATTGATAAGGTATGGAGTATGATTAAACCATATGTGCCTTTTCATCTTACAGTAATAATTAGTGATATTATGTCCCCCCTCAAATGAGCCGCCTTCTTCTCCATGTTTTAAAAAAATTATTTAATTGTAATATAATATTAGCTCCCAGCTGGATGTTATGCTCTAAACTTAGATGGTATGGTCAAATGAGCTCCGAAGCTTGTAGATGGTGAGTTGTAATTCGAGATCACTTAGGTATGCATAATTTAACAATTTGTATTGATAATTTTGATAGATATAAAGCATTTAGAGCCATAGTCATGGCTATAATATGAGGTCTACAATTGGCCTAAGATATTTGTAGTAGTATATGTATGGTCCAATTGAAAATTTAGCATCTATGCAAGCTTTATGAGTGGACGTGTATAGAAGTGATGAATGAATGTGCTTACTTGACTCGTTATGTTCATGGATTGATTGGCAACGAGGATTGAGATATTAAAAATAGTCTTATGTTTTCTAAAAAGAGAATTGAGCGGTAAATTGACTTTGCAAATCCAAGTGTTAAACAACGAGTTTGAGTCAAAAGCTAAGTCTTAATATATCTATGTTTAGTGATAATATTAAAGTTGCTAATCCATCACGATCAACTGTAAAATCACAGAGCAATGCTTTTAAATAAATTGCATAATCATCTTTCCAGAAGAAATCAATGGAAGTAATTGCATTTTAATAACAATCATAGAAAAATTGCATTATAAATCTAAGGAGTTTACAAATTTCTAAGATAATTACTCATGTTAACACTATAGATTTACCTTAGAGAAATAAAATAAAATTGCAAAAGATATGTAAAAATTGAATTTAAATTTTAATTATAAACTACAATTCGACTAATCATCCTACATCATTCACGTTTTAAACCACAAAGTGAAACTTTCTTATAACAAAAACTTTCCTTAAAAAAAGAAATTGTTTCATAGGTAAAAATGTAAAATGCCTACAATTTAAAATTTAAAAATTGATCATCCCACCCGGTCACCACTAAACGTCTTGAATCTTGATATCATTAAAGTTGATTCATAAATTTAGGTCCAATAAAATAGAATATCTCTATTCTCAACCGTTAGTCCAAAAAATAACACTTCTAACAAAACCTAACCTGATCTAAAATTCCTAATCACTTTCAAAATAATATTCCCAACAAGACATTAAGTCCTAACCCGACTTAAACTCGAAATACTTTAAAATCTAAAACACATCCACTTAACAAAACTTGATGGGGGTAAAAAAAAAAAATTCAAAAACTCCAATAACACAGTGAATGCGAAAAAGCTCTGTAAAACCCCATCCAAGTCTACAAATCGGCAAAATACAACAACGTTTTCCTTTCTTCTGGGTAAAGAACTCTGTAACTAGTTTATTTAAGAAATTAAATAATAAAGGAGAAAGATAAGAAATTACTCAATTTTTTCTTCCAATTATTAAAATACTTTTTCCTGTTTTCTCAATTTCTTCTTCTCAAACCCCCGAAATTCCCTATTACTTCCACGCAATCCAAACTTCTCTCTTTTCCTTCTTTCTCTCTCATCTCTTTCTCACCGTTTGCGGAAAAAAAAATCCCCTTTTTCGAGGTCTAATCGGGTGATATTTGCTGCGCTTTTGTTGTTCGTGTATCAATTGATCATAATAATTTGTGGGTTTTCAGGTAATTTTGTTTTTTGGTCTTTATTTTAATGTTTTACAGGAAATTAAAGTTGGGGTTTGTTTAATTTTGAATTTTGGGGGTGGGATTTCCAGATTATGGTTAATTACTGAATTGAAGTATTGTTTGATTATCCTTTAATTGGTAAAGTATTGGTTGGGTGTTGAATTGACTGAATTTTTAGCTGTACTTGGAATTTTTTGATAGTTAATGTTGTTAATTTAATCAAATTATTGCTAATTGAGTTAAATTTATTACATTTTTGTAACCCTTGATTTTAGTCATTTGGTTCATCTTCGTTAATTGGATGTGCTATGGAATTTAAAGCCAATTTGTACTAACTTGAATGTGTGTTAATATTTGTTTTGCTATGAAAATACTGAATTATGATACCACATTTTGATTTATTTTGACTTATTTTGACTTATGAGATGGAGGATGAAAGGTCTTACTACTGTGATGACTTTGAACATATTGGATTTATATGGGTTATTCAGCATATGCACAGATTATGTTCACCCTAGTGGTTGCATGAAGACTTCTAAACTACAAAATTTGAAAATTCCATGGATTCTTGATAATTGAGCTCATATTAGTTATGGGATGCTTCTAGGAGTTCTGGCGCTGAACACTTATAATGTCACTACATTGCTTATCTGTCAATGCTGACAATTTAGATTTATAGCTGATATAGCACTGAACTTGTTAGGGAATCGCGGTGGTTCTCTTTGCCTGAAATTTTCCAATTCCAGACTTCCAGCCCTCTTATACATTATAGTTACTTGTTTTCGATTAATGGTGTAGTTAACTCAGTGGGGATACATAGTGCATCTAATTTTGGCTCTTGTGGGTTTTGTTGTTTTTATTGAGTGTGTTATTATTGTATCAATCTCAGGACCTTCATTTGATTGTTAACTCAGCAGGCATACATAGTGCATCAATCTCAGGACCATCAGCATCTAATTTTAGCTCTTGTGGGTTTGAGCGGGGAATGGACTTACCGTATACAACTACTGCTGTTGCTTGCAAATAATGTCCAATTGGCAAGGGGGTAGAAATGCTTTGAGCATATTCAAGTGGAAAAAACCTGGTGATCCTTCACTATCCATTGGCCTACTCAATGATATTCCTCCTGAGATCGAACTATCTGAATATGGAAGGGTGCCGAGTCCTGGTAGCGAAAGCCCTTCTGGGCTACTTAACGGGGAGAGCCTGAAAGTGGAACCTATTGCTGATTTGGACCTGTTCTTTGAAAGGCTGTATAGCTACTATTGTGAAAAAGGACTTTGGTGCATCATTGTGAAGTGGATAGTTGAACTCTTGAGTCTTGCTTTTACAATATGCTTTTCAGGATTTTTCTTACTATTCGTTGACTGGAATGGTCTCCGCAATGCTAAATGTGGAATCGATGCTGTTGAATCTGGAACTAAGCCCTGTGACCTTGCAATAGAAGCTCTCCATGCGCATCCATTAACCCCACTTACACTTCCCAAGGCAATTATTCTTGGGTATCTGGGTATATTTTCCATATATTGGGTCTTCTGTTTTCTAAGGTTTTTTGCTCAGCTTAAGGAGACTCTTAGGATACGCCACTTTTATTACAACTGGTAAGCTTATATAAGCACAACTTTGTATTTGCTATATTCCTCATTCTCTCTCTGGTCTTTCTCGCCCTTTCTCTATTGTGGCAGGGGTATGATGGTGATATGGTGTTGCCTCTTGATTTGGGAATACACTAATTTAAGAATGCGTTCTTTGCAGTCTCCATGTTACAGATGATGAGTTGAAGACCATGCCATGGCCTTCTATACTTGAAAAAGTGGTTCGTGTTCAGAATTCACAGAAGCTATGTGTTGTGAAGGATCTGTCAGCTCATGAAATTGTAATGCGATTGATGCGGAAGGAAAATTACTTGATTGGCATGATCAACAAGGGGATTCTTGCTTTCCCTATATCTAAGTGGATCCCTGGTGCTGGTCCAGTTGTCAAGTCTGGCCCTAATAGGGGCCGTCAACGCCTCATATTGACAAAGACACTTGAGTGGACCTTGAATTGGTCCATATTACAGAGCATGTTTGACAGGTAATAATTGCATGACTATAGTACTGCCTTCGTCCTTTTTTACTTGCAACATTTCTATAGTGTAAATTATTCACATACTCAACTTCAATTACAATTTCGTGATTTATGCTATATTAAAAAAAAAAGTCATATGGGTCTTGTTAGATTCATCTCAATGTTTACTTTAAGAAATTTAGTTTTATAATTTTTTTACAAACACATGATTAAAGATAAATAAATGGTTGAAGATACATTGGCTAACGTGAAAACAAGAAAATTTGAAGTACGGAGTAAAGTATAAGCCGATGAATTGTTTAATTATTTTTTCATTTCCAAATTTAGAATGTTATGTGGAATCCTTGGCTGTTATGTCCGTTCCTCTCCCACATCTTGTTCACTTCATTTCATGAGAATTTTGTTTTTGCTTGCGGTAGAAGGTCACTAGTCCTTCACGGGTCAATCTTATGCATGAAAGTCCTATCCAATCATGTTTCACTTCTTTGCTTTGGGATTGCTTTCTTTCATGTGCTGAAATCTGTACGAAATGACTAACTTTGTCATAAACTTTAACGGAAACAAGCTTCTACTAACTGTGGTTAATACACTAATACAGACCTTAAAGGTATGGCTGCCTTCATTTGACCCTTGTATTATGTGCTGAGTGTTGCTGGTTAGTTTTGTTCTTATAGTTTTTCACCATCTTCTTATTCAAGTAAGGCAACAAGCCTTGATGTTTATGCTGATCAGTTGGTAATGGATGCACAATAAGCTGAGTTCTTGTTTTATACTGAATATTTTGACTATGTTGATTACATCTTTGTTCGTTGTTATGAGAAAGCAGTTTGTTTTTGTGAACTATATATCTGTAACGAGACCATGATTTAACTTCTCTGAGATTTCTCTTCATATGTTTCCCTTCTATTAATGTTTCTGTACAAGAGAAGCTTTGGGATTTGATGCTGTGTTCATTTAGTGGCTGAAAAGCTCTTTTATGCCTGCAGGAAATTCTGTATCAGGGAGGAGTTTGTCTCAAATCCCGGTGCTTTGAGGAAAAGACTTGTAGTAGTTGGACTGGCAATGCTTCTTCTTTCTCCATTTTTAGTAATATTCATGCTGGTTTATCTCTTCTTGAGGCACGCTGAACAATTCTATAACCACCCAACAACAGCATCATCTCGAAGATGGTCAAATTTGTCAAAGTGGATGTTTAGGGAATTTAACGAGGCAAGTATTTCTACACTTTGTGTTTTATTTTGTTTTTCCTGTGGCATGGTTTTGTTGTATCATTTTGGTATTTAAGTTTGATTGTGTTACTAGTTTTGGACATACTCTCCCTGCCCTATGTTAATTTTTAATTTAGGAAAAGGTTGATTAGAAAGGAACATCATTTCTTATAACTTTCCTAGGCTTTACCATATAGGTTTATGTAATATACAAATTTATAGACTGATGATAATAGAAACTTGGCAAGTTTTTGGGGAGTTTTCAAATAGATCAATGTGACAACTAATATACATAACTCCAAAGTACTAACCAAGAAGCAAGGAGAGCATTTTGATTTTTGAAGCAATCCAGAAAAAAATTCAGACATCCATGCAATTCATAGTTCCATATGTTTAATAGCTGATATTTACTACCAGTATTACATTGTACTTGTAAATTTATTACGTAGTATTTTCTTTATTTCCCTTAAGTTTTTTGTTTATTTGAATCTTTCCAGGAACATATAAATATTTGAACATACTCCATTGTACAGCAATTTGATGTGTCAAATTGTCTATCAAATTATTCTTGGATCTATACTCTATACTGATCTAAGATATTATACTGGTTTGTGTCAAAAAAAAAGATATTATACTGGTTGGGGTTATCAGCTAGAGTGTGGTTACAGAATTGCAGATTGTGCAGCACATGGATTGTGCTATGCTCTACCCTAAATGCATGGCGCCTCAGCTCCTAGGCACACTTTTTTATATACTTGTGGGGAGGAAAATCCCTTTACAAAATTTTACTTTCATTTCCACTAGGAATTTGCATGAAAGTGAAAAATAATAGTTAGTAAATCAAATTTCCTTTCTCTTCCCTTCATATCTATTTAAGAACCAAACGTTGGAAAATAAAATCTCTTTTCTTTCCCTTCTCTGTCTTTTATTTTCCCTTCCCTTCATTTCTCTTTGTTTTCTTTACTAATATTGAAATAGAAGGGGGGTCTAAGGCTAAGGGCGATGAATAAAGCAATAACAAGAACAAAGCCATGGTCCCAAAATAATTTGGGGTCAGATAACATGAATCGTCATGAGGAACCATCCGATATAGAAAAAGGGATGTAACAAGGTTAATCAGTTGATAGAGTTTGAAAAAAGGTGTGTAAAGTGAGAAAAAGAAAGAGCATCCAAGTAAAAATTAAGAGAGTTTTATAAGGAAACCAAGAATATAATTCATGGGAGTAATTAATATAATTGAAGAAAGTTTTAAAGGAAGGGTAAAAACATGGGAGTAATTAATATAAAGGTTTCAGAAAACTCTAAGCTAGGGAAATCAATAAAGCTCATAAAACACAAACTGAGTAATATAATAAAAGTAAATAATAAGATTAAATAAACAAAAGTATGTATACAATCATGACATGTTGACGAGAATTATCCCCCTCCACACCGCCCTATCCAACACCATATTTTCCTAAATCCCCAAAGCACTCATATCACTCTCAATCACCCTCTTCCAAGTTTTCTTAGGTCTTCCCCTACCCCTTGCGATCCCAACAATTTGCAACTCTGCGAGCCTTTTTACTAGAGCCTCACTTGGTCTCCTTTTTACACGGCCGAACCACCTTAAGCGATTCCCCCTCATCTTGTACTCAATCAGTGTCACCCCGACTTTTTCTTGTATCTCATTCCTCAACCGATCCTACATTATAGTAAATTGACATGAAGTGGGGATCTATGACAAATAATGTGCCTGTACAACATTATTGAATGTTATAACAGTTTTAGCTTTAGCTTCTAATTCATTTGCCATTGGGCTATATATAGTTACAATGTACATCCTATAAAGTAAAACTCAAGAACAAAATTGCAGAACATGCAGTACTGAATTCTGATATAGCATACTTATTAGGATGCAATTATAGCTTTTCATCTGTTGACATAGATTTTTCCAACTGCAGTCTTCGAGCCTTTGGTGTCCTGAACCTTATTTTATCTCCATGTTCTCTCCGTACCTACAGGAAAGATCTGATCTATGGCTTTGTGGCCCTAGATAATGGTTCTGTTAAAGATATTTTTGTCAGGAAGTGGCAGTCCTATTGTGTTGGTGGTTGGTTGGGCTATGATGGCAATATGGAATCTAGCTTGCTGATATATTCATGCAAGGATTGTTGCGTACTAGGGTGGCCTAAATATATCCTAGTTGGCTTAATTCGAATGAGTTCGTGCCTCACATTTTTTTTAAAGTTGACACAATTATTAAGTTTAGAATATGGGAGGGGTATTGGAAGTGATATGTGCTTTCTAAAATGAGGGGAAAATGGTAATGTAAGTAGACGCAAAAAAGCTGAAGAGACTACGAGCCTGTGATAATGTACAAAAGTTTGACATATTCATGTCTGCCACTTCCAAGAGTTCAATTATTGTAGTGCCGCGTGAGGACATAACATTCAGTGTATTGCTTTTCAGTTGCGTTTAATATACGCCAAAATTACATTCTGTTTGTCATGGCTGGCTCATTGGTAGCAATAGGAGTATTGAGATTATACCTGTAGGAGCTCTTGTGAGTTTAGTTTGAAAATAGAATTAATGAGCTTCTGTCTGTAGTGTCTGTAGGCACTAGGCAGTGTTAATCACACTAGAAGGGATTACTGTTTAGGAGCTTATATCAACTTGCAGTTGCTACATTCAACTATGCTAGTGACATGGAGGTTGCTTGCTTGGTGGTTTTACAGTTTAATGACTTAAGGACTGTGAATCGTCCGCTTAGGAGTTTTTAAGCTCTTCCGATAATTTAGAAATCTGTGATTAAGTAGTGAAATCTCAAGATGCCATACTGAACTATGTAGAAAACAAACACCCTTTGTGTAGCCGTTGAACGATTGAGATATGAGAACCTGTTCTTAAACTTATTTCTGTTCATCATGTATGAATTAGCCATCAACTATATTTTTCATTTTGTTTCAAGGAATGGGTAGGGTTGGGGGTTGTAATATTATGGTGCTAACATATTTGGAGATCAAATGTAAATTATTTAGGTATAGACAAAAGGTGTATTAGAAAGTTGATTGACTCCAATGCCCTAGCTGCATCAAGGTGATTTAGAAACTGATGAGTATTGTGAAATGTAAAATAATGTTTTATCCAACACCCGAAATGTTCTGCATAGTGTTAAGATGATGTGCCCATAAAATTTTCTGTACCCCTATTCCTTGATGTTGTCATTGACTTTTTATCCCCCTGCATTGTAGGTGGAACACTTCTTTAGACACCGCATAAACAGCAGTGTCATACATGCTTCAGATTACTTGAAACAATTTCCATCTCCCATAATTTCAGTTGTTGCTAAATTCATCTCATTCATATCTGGAGGCTTTGCGGCGGTGCTGATCATTATTGCTTTGCTGGATGAATCTTTGCTGGAGGGCCATGTAATTTCTTCTTCTTTTTTTGTACCTTTTGAATTCACCACAGAAAATGGACCCTATGTATGTTGATACAGTGGCTGACAATCTATTATAATGCCTTTTTGTTGTAATTCTTGAAGATATTTGGCCGTAATTTGTTTTGGTATGTTGCTGTATTTGGAGCAATTACGCATATCAGCCGGGATGCTGTGACAGATGAGCTTCTAGTTCTTGACCCCGAGGGCACAATGTCCTTGGTGGTTCAGCACACTCATCACATGCCAAAGAGATGGCGTGGTAAAGAAAATACAGAGATGGTCAGGATGGAGTTTGAAACTTTATTTCAGGTAATTTCATAGGCTGGAAACCTGATGCTGTTTTAGTTGTTTAATCTTTGGCTAACTAAATAGCATGGGGCTACAAATGCTTAATAAATTATGTATTTTTGCAGTATACAGCAATGACGTGGCTGGAGGAGATGGCCTCTATATTTTTAACTCCTTATCTGCTCATATATGTTGTGCCAAAGGTTATTAATTTTTCATTTAAATTAAATCACTCATTTCTTACTTGGTTTGAATGACTTTAAGTTTATGCTGTGTCTTTATTGCAGAAAGTTGATGACATTCTGCAGTTCATCTCTGAATTTACGGTATACATAGATGGAGTTGGTGATGTTTGCAGGTTTGTGTATCAACAGCTTATGTTTCGTTTGACCTTTTGTGAAATGCTACCTCCTGTTTTACCCAGTGTATCTCATTCTTCTTGCAGCTTTAGTGCCTTTGACTTTCAAAAGCATGGCAACGGCAATTATGCTTCTCCATACAATTCAATTCCCACCCTGAGGAGCTCCCAAGGAAAGATGGAAAAATCTTTTCTGAGGCACGAGTTTTCTCGACTTGCACTCATTTTCATGCTACTTTTGTGTTGTTGATGTTGTTAACGTATTTAAGCTGTCTTTTCTGTTTACAGCTTTCAAACCAGCTATCCCTATTGGCAATCAGATGCTCAAGGGATGCAGTTTCTAACCACTCTCAGAGCATTCCGGAATGAAAAGTTGAGAAGGCCTAATCCTGGATGTGGGCATTCACCACCCAGAAGGTGGCAACAGAGTCCAAGTTTGATAGATCAGAACTCCAGAAACAGCTACTTCAGAAGAGAATCGCCTTACAACAGTCCTGCACCGGGTTATCATTTGGGCTCTCTGTGGCTTATCGAAACTGATCCTAAAACTCACCCTTACCTTCTCGATTGGTTTTATGTGTCCGGGGCTCGTCATGTTATTGGTACTAATGACATCCCATCAGTTTCTATGGACATTGATAATGATCAAAGCAAAGAATTCTGGAAGCCATCCTTAAACATTGAAGCCAATCATGGAGAAAGTTGGCCTAATTTCTTTGAGAATCGGTCAAAGAGCCATCTAGAAGCTTCCACATCATCTCCAGTCTTCCCGGAGGAGGAAAGTGTTCTGCGGCATCACGACTCAAGCACTATGCTGCCATCTGCTAGGAGCCACTGGTGGGACCGTGGTGGGCCTAGCAGTGCAGAGCATCAACAAGCAAGCTTTCTTGAGCCTCCTGAGTTTCAACACCATGGTGGATCCCAACAAGGCAGCTTTCTTGAGCCTCCGCTGTTCAGATACAATGGCAGGCCCCAACAAGCCAGCTTTCTCGAGCCTCCTGAATTTAATCGTCACAATGCCAGTGATTACTACGGAAGCCACTCAGAGAGGAGCATAGATGAGCACGAACAACCATTGGATTGGGGCAACTACCACCGGTTGTCTCGAACAACTGATCCTGTTGAATTTGGTACTAGTGGTGGCGATTTTAAGCTCCATTTTGATGATGTCTATAAACCTTCAGAATCGCCTACCATAAATATAGATTCTAGAGACTTAGCCCCTGATACATATCAACTTATCAAGTGAACTAATTCTTGATCCCCTACACGGAATCGTTTTTTTTTTTTTTTTTTTTTTTTTTTTTTCATTTCTTGGGTCTTTTTGGTACATAATCTTAGGGCTATTTTCTCCTTTTTGTTTGGTACAAGGAGAACAGAAGATCGAAATTCTTTGTTGTACATAATTCATGTCTTAGAAAAAAAAAAAAAGAAAAAGGTTGCATTTAGAATTGACCTTGCCTCTCTTTCTAGAAATGTACAAAGAAAAACTTGCATTCTAGGTTGCTCAAAATCCTTATCTTGTTTGTAAGTATGCAATTGCTGCTAGCTATTAATAAATTTAGAGGTATTTTGGTCATATTGGTTCAACTACATACCTTGTACATTCAGTCATTCATGATGTTATTCACTTGCTCTTTAATAGCAAGTGAGCAACCACACCAATGATATAAAATTATACCACGTACATTGTCATGGAATAAGAATGACATTAAACATTTAATTTTTCCTTTATTTTTTTTATATAAAAATAGAAGTATAAGGAGTATTTTCTTTCTTTTTTTATTTTTTTTCTAAAATTGGTCCAAATCGGTCAAGTTAGGTCTTATCAGTCCCGATCCTTAATTAACTAGTTCCAATCTCCGGTCTTGAATTTCGAATACTCCCTCCGTATTTTATTATTTGCTCCACTCTCCCTTTGCGGTCGTATTTTATTATTTGTTCTATTTTCTTTTTTGGAAACCTTTCATCTATTTATTGCGAGTAATTTTTTCCTCTAATAGTAGACCTCTAACTATCATACTTTAATATTTTCATATTCTCTCCTCTCAACTATCATACTTTATTTGTTTTTCCACCGACCCTACTTCCTTTAGATTTTAATACGAATAGTTTTTACTATTTGATCTAAAATTCCGCGTATGAAAAACTCTAGCCTCTATTGTCAATTTTGAAGGGGTTTCCATCAGATTTCATAGGTGGAAATCCCCAATCATTATTTTCTTTTAAGCTTTTTTTTTTCCTTAGATTATAATAATGTCTCCGTCGAAAGAAAAAGTTTATCTCCTACGAAAGATAAAGTTTTTTTTATATCTCCTTCGAAAGACAAGGTTTTTCGGACTCTTTCGAAAGACAAGGTTTTATTTGAGTTTAATTTGTTCCTTAATTATGCGGGGCTATGATTGATTATTGCTTCGATTTGGTTACGACATCAGCACAAGAATTTACGTTCTCTCAAAATTGCGAAGCGACGACGGAACCACTCAAAAAGTTGTATGAGACAACGAGTAGAAAATGTGCTGAATTGCTATACGAGTATTTATTTATTTTATTTTTTTGACGAAAGTATTCATGTACTCTGTATTTGGATTCTTAGGGCCTATTCTCTTACGTTGAAATTCAGTTCAGTTCAGCTCAGTTCAGTTCAGCTCCTAATTTCCTTCTCTTGTAAAATATTCATTTCAGTTCAGTTCAACTCAGCTCAGTTCAGTTCAATTCAGTTCAGTTTAGCTGAGTTCAGTCAATGAGAACAGACCCTTAGTCCTTCCTCAATTGATTCTTATTAGATTTTGTTAAATTCGTTTTTCAATATCATTAAGGAAAAATGAAAACTAATAACTTTTTTTTTTTTTTAGGCAACCAATAACCCACTTTTGCTCTATCTTCTCTTAATAATCCCACTTTTCAATTATTCCAAAACATTCCCACATTTCACCCTATTCTTTTTCTAACAATCCTCAAGCAGTTGGATTATTTTGGTAACCTGTTTTTCTAGGTTAGTTGCCACGTGTTGCTATTTAACAGGTATATTTCATTTTTTGTAAAAAATAAAAAAATAATAAAAAAAGAAAAAACACAACCCCAGCCTCGTCCAACCTATGGCCTGAACGACCAATTGACCACCCCACCCCCACCCCTTGCGCCGCCCCGGAAATTGATTGAAGCGATTTCCGTGAGCAATGTCGGAAGTGATTATTATTTTGATGTTAGGGTTTTCATCGAGGTTATTTGCTGTAACTACAATTTGTTCTTTGCTTAATTATTTATGATTGATTTCTTTGATTTTTATCATGCTCGATCAATTTATGTCCCTAAAAAGGAAATGTCACAATAAGCTGTAAACCTTTTACTTTTGATAAATATTATTTTGAAGAATTATGTGATAATGAAGGGAGGTGGGAAGGTCTTTTAATAGAAGAAATGGATGAACTTGCTATGTTTTATAGGGACTTTGGCACGAGTGTGTGTGTTGAGAATTCAAACTGTTTGGGTCCAATTTAGTCCAATTGGGCCTAGATATTAAATGATCCAATTAAAAGCCCAAGGTCAAGGTTCAACTCTCCAATTGTGCTAAAGTCAAAGGTCAGCCCACAAAGCAAGCCAATTGGGCTAAGGCCCAACCTCTCCATGTATGATGAGGTATAAAAGCCATCATTATTGATACATTTAGGGGATTGATTCATAGATTCATTCAAGGATTCATTCATATGTTCATTCATATATTCTGATATATTCCATTAAAGCCTCAAGCAACAAACTCTCTTGCATAGTGTCCTCTTCTTACATATTGTACTGACTTTAGCATCGGAGGGGCCTTCCTCGGCAACACCCCCGAGGCTAGTTTACGTGTGTTTACTGTGCAGGAAACCTTCGGCTCAACATAACTTGGACCGAATCCAGCCTTCTCCGTTTCAGCGGACCTTCGGCAAGGTCCCATTGTTTTCACCCAAAACAATTTGGCGCCGTCTGTGGGGACGACTTTCAAAAATCTTTAAGCCAAATTCCTAACCAAGATCATCTTGCAATTATCTTAGCAGCAATGGCTAAGAACCGCAAGAGCAAAAGCCTCCGTCAAGGAGCGGGCGAAAAGCCTAAAACCCCTACACCATCACCCTCGCCGGACCGGAACTCTCCCAAGGGTGCCGGCTCGGGGGGAGGATCATACAAGGAGGATTCCCTATCTCCCGTAATTCATGACTCTCATTATAGGCCGAGTCACTCTCGGTCTAGCAGGGATGAGTTCGATCATAGGACACATTCAGTGTCCCAAAGCCAACCATCGGCTGCACGCCCTCATTCCCACACTCGGCCGAGGACCCCTTTGACGGGGCCCAGCTCGGAAGAGGTGGCAAGAGCGCTGGCAGTACTCATGGAGGCGATGAGGGCACAAAATATGCCACCACCTCGTGATCGAACTCCTCCGCATACCCGGCATCAGCGGAGGAAGTTAGACCATGATGGTGGGAAGCTTCCTTCCTTCCGGGAACTGGAAGAGTGGGAGGAGGATTCCTGGAAAAATGAAAAACAGAGGAAAAAGAACCCTCAATTTTTAAAAGGATCCTCATCCTCAAGACCAGAAGCGCATAAGAGCAGCAGCTCAGCTTCTCGGCCAGAATCTACTCACCGAGAACCTGAGACTGTTCGCAGAAGTGTCCTTGACCGACTCGGCAGCAAGGAACCGAGCGTGCACAGTCGCCTCTCGTTCCCTGCAGCCGAGGCCCAGACTTACCAGCCAGGGACGAAAACCACTCCTACCTCTCTAAGAGGGCGGAGCGCGGTCCCTTCGGCCAGGAACAAGGGCAAGGCCGTTATGTTACCCGCCAGTTCACCATTCGAGCAATGGATACTGGAAGAGCGCGTACCCACGGTTAAAATACCGTCGCACATCACATATGACGGGACCACGGATCCGAAGGATCACGTGGCCTCGTATGAGAGTCATATGCATCTTTGCCCCAGATCCGAGGCGACTTGGTGCAAATATTTCCCAACCACTCTCAAGGGGGTCGCGCAAGCGTGGATCTCCAAAGGAGTAAGGCAAGGCTCCATAACAGGGTGGGATGATCTGTCCTCCAAGTTCAGGAGCAAGTTTTCCACGGCAAACCGCCGAGAGAAGACTACCGCAGAGCTCATGAGTCTGCAACAGGGGGAAACCGAAAGCCTCCGAGACTACCTGACCCGTTTCAGTAACGAGTCATCAAGCGTCTCCCAGCTGGACCAGGGGCTAGCCGTTTTTGCAATGCAGAATGGCCTTCAGCCCGGAAAGTTCCTAGACTTCATGGTCATGCATACCCCGCAGACCTTGGAGGAAGCTCTTAATGCTTCGGATAAGTTCATCCGAGCCGAAGAATGGAACAAAGCGAAAACCCAACCTCAATTCGGGGGAGGGAAACAGAGACAAATACCCTTGTCTGAAGGCCAAGGCCATAAGGCAAAGGGAAAGTCAAAGGCCCCGGAGCAATCTTTGGCCATCGACCCAAAGAAGGAAAGATCTGCCTCATACACAGGCAGATACGAGTCCTACACTCCGCTCTCTCTTCCACGCGCCAAAATTTACAGCGTGACGAAGGAGGAGCAGAGTTACCGAAAGCCGAGACCACTCCCAGAGTGGTATCAGCGAAAAAATAAAAATCAGTGGTGCGAGTTCCACGAGTCTTCGGGACACAACACTGAGGAGTGTATCCAACTGAAGGACCAGATAGAGGACATGGTCCGGAAGGGATACTTGAAAAAATACATCGCGGATCACCGCGAGAAAAAAGAATCCGAGAGGTCAGCAAAGGACCCTCGGCAGGACCTCGACTTCCCCCGGAAAAACAGTAAAAAGCCGGAGGGGAAATTCCCTCCGATCAATGTTATCTCGGGAGGAATATACTCTCGGAGGGAGCACAAGCGCCACCTTAGAGGTTTGACTCACCAGGTGAACAACGCTGACATTCAATCTCCCCAGTCGCCGGTGCCGAACATGACGTTCACAGCCGCCGACTGCCGGGGGATTACGTTCCCTCACGAGGATCCGTTGGTGATCATCGCCACGGTGGCCAACCACGACGTCAGTAAGGTCCTTGTTGACGGTGGCAGTGGAGCAAACATTCTGTTCCGAAAGGCCTACAATCAAATTAAGCTGAAGCCCAAGCACCTTACGCCGGTACCTTATCCGGTATCCGGGTTCAATGGGGCTTCAACTTATCCAGATGGGAAGGTGACACTTCCTGTCACCATCGGTTGCGATGAGGCTGCCCGGAACGTCATGATTGAATTTTTGGTCATCGACGCTCCTTCAGTGTACAACGTGATTTTGGGGAGACCCATAATTCACGAGATCCAAGGGGTCGTCTCAACTTATCATCAGCTGATGATTTACGTCTCAGACGCCGGCTTCCCCGAAAGGATACAGGGCAACCAAAAGGACGCCCGAAGGTGCAACTACCTCAAGCCATCCAGTAGTCGCCCAGATGACGACAAGGATGAGGAGGAGAAAGAAAAAGTAAGAGAGCCAAGCACAAAAAAGCCAAAAGGCCTAAGTGCTTCGGCCCAAGGATCTGTGCCCAGAGAAAAAGGGCCCGAAAGGGAAAAGGC